TAGACTTTGGGCCAGCAGACTTGATTGCAGGATGCGTAAGGGCCTTCGAACAATAAGTACAAATAACACATGGTTCTCCAGAAAGCCGGTCTGCTCCTTGGTGATAACTTCTCCAGTATTGAGAACTCCAGTTGGTTGAATCCCATGCAATCTTCATAAGGAGTTTTGTAGTATGATCTGAGTGTTGTTCATACCATCGTGATAGCTTCCACCACTCAATGAATATATCGTGTGTATCCTTAGTCCATTTGACGAATTGGTTTAACTTGCCAATATATTCAAGGCCTGCAGGGACTTTGTAAGGATGCCTGTCCCTCAGTGATGGAAAGGATCTGAGTCGGGCAGGTTACGGTCACATGATAAGAGTTAAGGCAGGTTAGCTGAGTCGGACCCGTTTCGGGTACTTAAGGAGATTGACCCAACGGGGGTTCCTCTCTTCATCTTTTTTGTATCCTTCGTAGTAGACCTATAGGATAGCATCCGTTTAGCCTCTGACTCGCACTCTCATATGCTATTACTGTGAGCTGGGTGCCCTGTGTCCTTACAGACTTGATTTAATGAGGATAGTTGTTGAGAAGACGGAAAAGAGTCTGAGAATACTGTCAGAATCAAACAACTCTGAGTATTGAGATGGCATTTGGCAAATTGCTCGATTATCAGAAGGTTACCAGAAGTCTGGCTACGATGAAGTACTTAAATACCTGGTTTTCCAACGCGAAAGGTACTCCAGCGCTATAACTTTAGCAACTCAAGTTCTCCTCTACTCTAGCTCCAGGAACAACATATCCTGTGCAGCTGATACCTTAGCCCACTTTTCCTTATCAAACTTCTTAGAGTAGACAAGTAAGAACGCCTCTTTGAAGCTAGAACTATGAGTGGATATTTGCAACCATCCATTGTCGACAAGATTGTAAGACTTTGGGTACCACTGCACAGGTCCTGGTAATTAGGCCCACTTTCCAAACTGCCTGCTCGTACAAACAGAAATATTTATGTGGTGGGATAACCTCGTGAAAAGTGCTATAATAAACAATTAGTATTGCCAGAAGATTGCTAGGATGATCAGAGACGTACCCTTCCTCTACATCAATCCACGGCATATACTCAAAGAGACGCTCAGGCTTCTTTCTCAGCTTTCCAGCCTTTCTCGTATATGAGTGGATACAGCTATCCCAGAAATGTTGCCACTTGCGGAAATTGGACTCTTCATGGGCCTATCAACTATTAGTATCACCAGAAGATTACCAGATTATGAGGTAGCATACATCAATGTGCGCTTGAGTTAAGAGAGCCTGGGTGCTAGTGATCTCTTCATCGGAAAGCTCATCTGGTAGAACAGCCTCGTCATTTAAAATATCTCGCGCTGTAACATAAGCTCCAACTCCAAATCGTCTTCAACCTCAGTATCCTCCCATTCGCTGTTATGATTGTCATCGATTGGAATACTTGAGATACCCTCAAATGCAGCAAGCTCAGACAGAAGTTGTTTGGGCGGAGTAGATGGTGGGGCTTGTGGAGAAGAAGAGGCGCTAATATTCTTGACTTTCTGATTCGCAATGCAAGATGCATGGGTACCCTTCTCAGTCCTGTTTATAGTTAGATTGAGGCTACCAGAGATTACCAGAAGGAACTTACCGAACACAAATACGCTCAACCTTCAATTCATTCTGTAGACGTGTCTTGTCTTCAGTAGAGGCAGCGATATACTTTGTGTAATGACACAGGGCACCCAGCTCACAGTAATAGCATATGAGAGTGCGAGTTGGAGGCTAAAAGGATGCTATCCTATAGGTCTACTACGAAGGATACAAAAAAGATGAAGGGGGAACCCCGTTAAGTTTGTTTCCTTAAGTACCCGAAACGGGCCCGACTCGGTTATCCCAACCCTAGCCCTGAACCTTCCACCGCAACAGGTCCGCATCGACCCTGAACCCTACACCCTTACTGTCCCCCACTATAGTGTAACTCGCTATGTGCTCCTCTACTGGTCCGAAACCACACCGAGTCGGATTTCATGCTTGTGGTGACCGTAACAGCTCTGAGGCGGGTTCTTCGAGTATCTAGGTAAGGAGGCATCCTTACACTTTGCAGACTTATATAACTTCTTTAAGTAGTAGCTCAGATCAGCATGGTCAGCCTTGAGTGCTAAGTGAACAGCCTTCTCATCTTCAGTAAGGTTGGAGACGCAGTTGCGAGCTTTGATAGTATTCGCATTAGTGGAGAGTTCTTCATGTGCCTTGAGTTTCGCCATACTAACTAAACACGTGATTAGCAGAGATCTCCAGAAGTTCTGGCTATAGAATCAAGATAATAAACTTAGTTGAAGTCCTAGTGAAGAGGTAAAGGCTCAAAAGGGAAGAAGAATGTGTAGATCGGAGAGTAACCAAGGAAGGTGGTTCTAAGGTCGTGGTTATTTTAAAGTTGCAAACAAAAATATTTGTGAAGGAATATTCACCTACAAAGAATTACTGTTCCAAAAACAACACCACAATGCGCACCTTCATATAAAACACATACCTTTCAACCTCTACCTCTTTACTATACTCTTCTTCTGCAATATTCTTTCTACAAACTCACTGTAAGTACACATATCTTTTGATCTACTTCTTTATCTTGTGTTTACTTTACTAACTCACCTTGATATTAGCAAATGACTCGTACCAAGCAAACTGCTAGGAGATCAACTGGCGGCATAGCACCAAGGATGCCACTTGGATTACGGGCTGGCTCTGGGCTTGGCGGAAAGGGACAGGAAAAGGCTGTGGGCACAGCAAGAAAAGCTCCAGTTTGCTCATCTCAAGCTAGCAACAATCATGCTCAGAAGGCCACGCGCTGCACAAAGTCTAGTAAGAGGATTACCAGAGGATTACCAGAGGATTACCAGAACTCTCTAATAAACATATAGGCACCAAGGCTCTCCGCGATATCAGAAGACAGCAACTTGATACTAGCTCCCATTCCAGCGTCTTGTTAGGGAAATCACAGAAGACTTCAAGTCCAATCTTCGCTTCCAGCAATCTGCTATCCTAGCTCTTTAGGAAGCTGCTGAATGCTTCCTCATTCGAGAATTTGAGAGTATGATGTTTAAACATAGTGACAGGGACATACTAACAGTTATAGTGACAAACCTCCTCGCTATTCATGCGAAGAGAGTGACAATTCAGGCAAAGGGTATGATATTGGTTCGGCGTTTGCAGGATATGATGTTTAAGCTGTGGGCTTAATCGATGGAAATGTCTCTCACCCAGGAATGAAGGTCAGATGAGTTCTGGCAACCATCTGGTAACCTGGTACCTAAAGGCCAAAGGTTATAGTGTGGAATAGGACATCAACAATATGGGAATGGAGTTGGAGTTATGGCGTCTTGATCAATGAAGTCGCACCCCGTTTTTAACATAAGTAATGGCTAATCAAACACGTGATATAACTGAGTTGCCAAGACCCATACTAGGTACTCAGCAAGTGAGTAATCCTCATTCAACAATACTCGGGACATGAGCGAGTAACTCAGCTGGGTGAGTAAAAATTCTACTACTCGACTCGTGAGTACCCAGTGCGCAGCCTACACCTTAGGCTCAGAGACACAGACGAAAGGTCCCAAGAAGCGAACATCCATAAACCACTGGCCGAAGACCCTTGGAATACATATAAGAGTCTCCGCACTCTGGACAGAGGGGGAATTGTTACAGCGGCATGTACACGAAAAGCTCCTGTTCAGATGGTTGTGATTAAGGAATTGCGATCGGTTCTTCGCACTACTGAGCTCAAATGGACTTTTCACCACAATTTGGTAGCTTTTCTAGAAGTGTATCAGTTTGCGGAGAAAACGCTCGCAGCCATGGAATATACAGTCGCCACATTGCAGCAGGTCATGGCAGTCGCGTTGCCACTGGAAGAGATTCACATCTCGGCCGTATGCTGTCAGGTAATGTTGCATCTCGATTGTTGATCATCTGCTAAACGTCATAGCTATTTGAGGGGATCCGGCATTTGTCAAAGAATGGGGTGGTACACAACAATCTCAACGCCTCCAAGGTATTGTTTACTCCAGACGGTTGTGTTAAAATAGGTATGCCAGCAGTGCCAGCCTTGCGATAAGGACTAACTATGTAGCATTTTTGGACGATTATCAAGCCTCGGCATCAACCCGCGCCCGTCCATTAGGCATCATTGCAATATATATGATGCAACAAGGAATACCTACAGGGCCAGGGCAACGCGCTCATTCTCGGACATCCAGAGCTGTGGTCAGCGGAAGCTGCAAACTTCTTGTCGGTGGCATCTTGGGGAAGCCTACAAGACCTAAAGAACGTAAGATACTCAGGGTCCGTCAGTGGCCTATGCTAAATTATCCATAAGAACAAATTTCTAACATGTTCATCACCGACGGTTATGATCCCACATGTAGAGTGTGCCCGGTGGGGAACAGTCGAGTGGTATATAGGGGAGAAAGCGGACGGGAGTCAATCCCAACTGACACAAGATACACCTGTGAGACAGGGTCCGACTTGTCTTTTTCGTGAAAGATACAACTTTGCCTTCACATCAAAGTACGATAGCAGAGTATATGAGTTGATTATGTTAAAATCTAGATAACAATTTGAAGGCAATAGCAAGCAAAACAAAACATAACTCGATGTCAACCACCTTGCAATTATGCGAGACAGGGTCCGACTTGTCTTTTTCGTGAAAGATACAACTTTGCCTTCACATCAAAGTACGATCTGCTTTACCTCTGTCGGTGATACTGTAAATTACCATGGCCAGACAAGCTTTGCAGTTTTTATCAAGTCTGAGCGAAACATAAAGAAGAGATTGAAATCATTATCGGATTGAGAACCTGTACGGCTTATTAGTCTTTAGTGTAAGAGAACTGTCCATGCTAACTTACCGCAAGAAGTCCATGCCATTTCTGCAGCGCGAATATTGTGGCCGATGATTCAGGAACGAGACGAGAAAATTCTCAAGCAAAAGCGACGTTTTCTTCTTCTGACCACTCCTCAGACAAGACATGACCACGCCAGATAGGGGTATGTTCTTCTGCGAATATTGTAGTGCACGAAAGCAGAGCGTGATATTCCTCTGGTAGGTGGGAAAGTATAAAAAAAGCCACAGTTGGCATCAGGTATTCCAGAGAGTAGTCGCTTAATCTGCTGCAAGGGAGCCACCTTGATCCCGTTGAGTGTCCTCTTGTCATTTTCAATGGTTATAAAATCAATTCCAGGCAAAGTTCCCTCGCTCGCATGACGTGGTTGTTCTTCTAACATATACCTAGCAGCAAGCTTCCACATGTCAGATTCTCTATCATCGTCAATGAAAAGATAGCCCGCTTGCATAGTTGACAAAGAGCTGGCAACAAGCTTCCACATGACAACTGCGTCCTTGTCATTCTCAGACTCTTCGGCCGCTGGCATAGTCGGCAAAGAGCTGGCGGCACAATCCAATTTGCCAACTTCGGCTTTCCCTCGCTCGGGCGTTGAGTTGATCGAATCTGGTTGGGACGGGTGCGAATCGAGACGGGTAGGAGTGCCTTGTGAGATCGGACTCTGATCGACGTTATCACGCCATTCTTCACATCTTAACTTTGCACACTCTTGGCATTTTCCATCCTGAGGCATCTGCTGCCCACACGTCGTACATATCCTGCAGTCATTGCATCTGCCCATGTGGAATATTCTCATTCCACAAGATGTGCATCGCTCGGATATCAATATTTCTTTCATAACCCGTCGACCCTCCCTTATACACTTCTCCGTCGCTCTCTCCACTTCATGAATCTCCTCAACATACGGTTTACTTACACATTGGGGTTATGGGGTTTCTACCCAGAACAGTTTGACTGGAAGCTCTTTAAAATGGGAAGGCTGTTAGTTGCCCTTGATGTTACTGGATATCATGATATGAATTGTGGACTTTGGAATTGCATCATCCTCTATGTGCTTGCCAATACTGCAACACCATGTAGCATTTCTATACTACACGCTGGAAGAACACCGTTGTGTCCTTACTCGTCGCACCAGGTCCCCACTTCCAGAGCCGAAAGCCACTGGCAACATCATAAATCGGGTCCAGACAGCGAGTTGGTTACGAATCTCGCCAGCACCAGAAGCAAAGGCTGGACATGTTGCCAATGTGGCGAACGAGGAAATCGGCTCGAAGCATGTGTCGGGCCACCAGGGGGGGGTTTGGTCAGTGCGCTCATGGAGTTTGTTCCGCCGCCTGTCGGTATTCCTAGTAAGGCCACCCTTTGACCTTCAGGTCATTTCAATAAGGAAGAAATCTTCTAACTCTTTGCAAGGCTATTTCGAATACTTGGTGGTGGAGTAATGTCCGTCGCGGTGGGCTGCAGTTCGGTGGAGAGATTTGGTGTGGATATCCGTTGCGATGCGAGCGATGTGGATACAGGCCGTAGGTTATTTCAGCACGTGCTCTGACGAAACTTGAAATGCATTACCGAATCTTCCACAACAAAGAAGGTAAGCTGCCATGCACAGCTGTCAGCATGGAACAACGAGCACAAAATTAAGCAATGATATGGACTAAATTATGCCATAAGGTTGCGGAAAGATGGTGGTGTGTCGTGAGTTTGAACGTCATTCCTTGTTTAAATCACGTGAGTCTCATAAATGTAGTCACTTTAGTCGGCGGAACGTTTATCTGTCCGGGTTGCAACTCGCAACTCGGACGTACAACAGAAAATATGTTAATGGGCTATCGAAATGCATCGAGAAGGACATAACTATGACAGCTTCTGAGAAACGTCAGTGGATAGAAGGGAAAGGTAAAGGCAAGCGCCTATTTTCCCCAGAATTAGGTGGCTCATACGAGGTGTTTAACGTGAGGCCACTACCGGAGGAGATAGCGATATACTGCACGCAGGATGTAAGATTCATGCCAAAGCTGTGGAAACACTACTTCAACAAGCCTGCTTGGGCAAGGAAAGTGGAGGTTGCGACAAAGAACCGAGTCTTGTTTTCGATTCAAGCAAGTCCGCAAGATCTCTATGTTTACCGTACCCCTATATTCGTTATAATCATACAAAGTGAGTGCAGGATGAGCAAACATACTTTCATGAACTCTCTTCCAATCTCAAGACAAATACGAGGTATTTCGAATTCTGTAAATTTATCGCGCTTCACTATGACCCCCAACTTTCCCGGTATTAAATCAGCAGCCTGCAGGGCTAACTCCGCAGGAATCGCATTTTGAATAATTGCGTAGCCAGTGACGTTTGCCATCGTGTGTGGAATAGAGGTTCTGCTGTTTTGAGGGTGGGGTCGTGTACTGTCTATTCCCGCAATCCTGTAGTAGGGTTACGAAAGCTGGCCAAGGCTGCTTCAGAGGAGATGTGCCAGTCCTTGATCCTGATGCCGGTAGACACTTTGAGAAGTAGAGATCTTGCGGAGTTGATAAAAGCGTAGGGGACAACGCCTGTGAAGTACATTCTGTTTACAGTTCGTGCGCTAAATGGGTAATGATTTTGGCCCGCACTTCTTTTGAAGCCTAACCAAAAGCGTCGCGGTTATCCGGTATCGCGTCTGTCACATGAGGCGCCAGCCCAACGTTATCATGCCTAAATCCTTTATCCAAGTATTCATTCATTTATATTATTTCCCCCCCCAGGTTCTGGATGTCGCTTTCCTAATCAGGCAGACAAACACACTACATAATAAATTAATGGCTTCCCATTAGTCGCACGTTGAGCTGGAGAGGTTGCAAACACGGCATCCACAAATATGAAAGTTCCAGCCTAAACAAAATTGGCGCCCGACGTGACCGTCCAGTACTCTATCACGTGCTAATGGCTCCATATACTATCCTCGGAAGATGTTGCAAGAAAGCAACAAAGGCAGAGCCGAAGATAAGACACTATCATACAGTTCTAGTTGGTGTAGAGTAGCTCAAAAGCTTCGTAGGTATAGTTAGTAGTGGGCCAGCACGAGTCTGTGGCGGTGCCGTTATTAAATCACGATTATTTTGGTCGAGGTACACTCATCATGTGTATTCATGCCCGGAGGGAGCCGCTAATATGTGAGCTAGGGAAGTATGCGGAGGTCGTTGACAATGTGTCCGACATGAACGGTATCTTCGAGGGACAAGGCAATTCGTGCGGACGACAAGGAAGATAGTCTGCGGTTCGCAAACATACATGGGTCGGTGAATGAGTGCAACAACTGATCTTCATATAGCTCTTACGAAGCAAGGGGTTGAATCAATGGCCGTTATAATAACAGGTATGGAGCATGCTTTTGATGCCTAACGCCGAGGAGGGGGGAATGGTAGATGGGATCTTGAGCGATTCATTCGTGTAGTCCTGCCTACCCTCAGCCTCGCCTGCAGCCTTGTGCCATCCAAATGGTGTGCTTATCTGTGGCTGAGTGACGCTCCACAACAGAGCCTCAAATCCCGTCGCGGTCACGGTCCACTACTTCGATTCTCCAACAGTCAGCACCCCCAACCGTGTCAAGGCCACATTGGCATCTGAAATCTTTCAGTCTTTCCCTACGACCTGCTAAATGGAGTCAACTTTAATTCCGCATACTCCCCAGCTTTCGTCGTTATCAGAGCGCTCAACGCCCTCCTGCCATGGCCAACCTCTCCAGATCGGAGGTAATCAGGAGCAAACCAATAGCGGACGGGTTGAATGTGTTTCGCCATTCATTCGACTCTCTGTGTAAGGGTCTTGGGTTATCTACTTCGGTGGAGGGGTTGCAGCACATTGGTCATGAAGGTATGTACAGTGTACTGCATAGTTTCTTTCTCTGACGGACGTAGGTCTTCAAGGTCTAGCACTTGATCTGGCATCCGCCTTGCTGGTCCTTCCTGCCTCTCGTATACTGCGCTCGAACAATGGGAACAAAAATTTCTTCGACGATCTTTTAAGACTTAATTTGGCAGTCAATAGCGACGACTTCGACATCGAACGAGTGACACCACTCTTGAAAGCGGTAATCAATAATGAATCCGACGACATCATCTGGGACAAAGCTTACGCTGCTGTAACGGAGTTCACACCCCCTCCTCGACCACTGCCGTTCCTGAATCAAACCCCTTGGTCCAACGCTACAAGCAGCATTGTCAACTCTTCGGAGCACAGGAAATATGTAGATGACGTGCTGAAGGACGAGTTGGGGTCGTCGCTCTACATTGGGGTGCCTGGGTTCTACGACGCGTTCTTTGGAGACGTGGAAGAGCTGGACGCTATATCCCAGGCTGTCTTTGCACAATGTCAGGAGGGAGGGGAACCCATTTTTAGCGATGGAGGCGGCTGGCGTGACTGGCCCAACGAAGCAAAAGAGCCAGAAGTCTTGAAATGGTTTGCAGAGAAGATCGATCAGTTTTTGGACTTCGCAACGGACCACAGAAATGTTCCACGAAGACTTTTAGCGCAACCCAACCAACCTTTGGAAGGTTCGACAGCAGAGCGCAAGCTGGACGTTGGCTTCGTTAATAGCGTAGACGCTGAGGATAATTCTAAATGTCACTGGTCCCAGATAATGGTCATAGGTGAGCTCAAAAGCAATCCGGGTAGTGATACGCTCTCGAAGACATGGCGCGACCTGGCAAGATATGCGAGAGAGGTCTTCTTCGCTCAGGACACTCGCCGCTTCGTACTAGGCTTCACGCTCTGCGGGTCTGTCATGAGACTCTGGGAATTCGACCGGCTAGGCGGAATCGCCTCCTCTCCTTTCGACATCAACCAGGACGGATTACAATTCGTGTCGGTGGTACTAGGATATCTCCGGATGAACAAGACACAGCTGGGTTTTGACCCCACCATACTGGAGGCAGACGGAGAAAGGTACATCGAGATCATGCGCCACGGGCGCAAAGAGCGTCTTGTGATTGACGAGATGATGAAACGGGCAGGATGCGTTGCCGGCCGAGCGACAACCTGCTGGAAGGCACATCTTGCGGACGATGATACAAGAGCGCCTCTAGTGATAAAAGACTCGTGGCAGTATCCGGAACGAGATGAGGAAGGGGAACTGTTACGGGAAGCAACAGATAAGGAAGTGGTCAATGTTGCGAGGCATTATTGCCATGAGACGGTACACGTGGCTGGCGAGCGTGACGACGTCCGAGGCAATGTACGGAGGAATTTGGATATTTCAAAAGCAACTAACTACTTCGTCCAACGGAAAAAGGCAGAAGGCTCGATGTTGCCTCCCAAACCGTCTGGCATGGATTCCAGCCGAAGGGGCCGATCAACCGCTGATACTATCAACCGAAAGAGGTCATCTAGTTCACTCAACGCGCCCCTACCACCAAAGAAGCGCACTTGGTCCAGCTCCCCAACAAAAAAGGAGCAAACTCCTTCGACACATAACCGAATCCGCCGTCGCGTCATCGTCCGCGACTACGGCACACCTATATACAAGGCAAGCTCGTGTGTCGCCATGGTTGCTGCGTTGGAGGGTTGCATTGAAGGTAGGAGATTTGCAGAGGTAAACAGTACATCGGCTGACCAAAGTAGGATACGAGTCTCTACACGGCCGGGCTAGCATGCTCCAGCGCGACGTGTCGATTGGAAACCTTATGATGAATGAGGATGTCGATAACCCTTCCTGGCCCTCATTCCTTATCGATCTCGACCTTGCAATTAGATCGGAGCGTGAGCAGCCTTCCGGAGCTCGAAGCAAGACCGGCACGAGGGCATTCATGGCCATTGGGGTACTCCTTGGTGAGAAACATTCGTTCATGCACGATCTAGAATCGTTCTTCTGGGTACTCTTGTGGATTTGCATTCACTATAATGGGCCGGCTGAGAAACCGACAGTTGTCCATAGATTTGACAAATGGAACTTTTCAGAGACAGAAGAGTTGGCTGAGTCCAAGAAAGGGGCAGTGGTCCATGAAGGAGATTTTAAGAGGATGGTGGAGGAGAACATTAGGCCATACTACAAGTCACTTCAGCCTTGGCTGAATCGATTACGAAAGGTGGTATTTCCAAACGGCGGGAGATGGGAAAAGGAAGATAGAGGCCTATATTCTCGGATGAAGGAGGTTCTCCGTGAAGCACAGAGGGACTTGAATGTAGCAGCAGAATAGGTACCACAATATATAAGTGCTCTCTTGAATATTGTTTCTGTGCATGATGCGCTATGTTTCACGATACACAACGTTGGCTAGAGATACCTCAACTTCTGCTGATGTACTTGGAGGATCAAACCTTCTGGGCCAGCAGTCAAATGAAAATGGTGTCAAAAGAGCCTTGATGGGCAGTGGGTCTGTTTTTAAACTCAATCTATTTTTGGAGTTCGTACCCCTGTCGCGGCCCTGTTCGCTTGCGGGAGCAAGGACAGTGCGCACCTTCCCCATATAAGCACAGTGGTCACCTCTTCTCTGATTCCTTTCTGCATTCTTTCGGCTCTGGCTTTTGCTGCTGCCTCTTTCTGCTGCAGGGCGATCTGCTGATTGACGGCTCTTTTGCGCTTTGCAAGTTCAATGTCTTCACCCATCTTGGCGAAGTTAATGTCTTTCCGTCGCTCTGCTGACCTTTGTTGCTCTATTACAGATTCAATGTTCTTCTTTTCCTCAGCCGACAGGCTCTCTAGTGGATCTCACTCACGCATCGTTTCTGATAGATCTGAAGGCGATGCAATAGCTTGCGAGTCGCTATCCACGTCCCAGAAATTGCGGAATAAACGGTCCAACTGAGGGAGAAATTAGTTACATTGATAACATATATAGGGGAAGAGATTGGACTTACGGAGCTACCGTACGCTTCCTCAAGGTATTCGTTTCCTAATCGCCGCAAAGTTTCTAGGACGTCTAATGTACTCCTTGCGTAGCGTCTTATAGTTGATGCACTAACTTCTTCGCGATGGACGGCCGCATTTCGAAGCTGACGAAGCTCATGAAGCTCTTCGCGAAATCTTTCCAGCTCTTTCCCGCATATACCAGCTTTCTTAAGATAACTCTTGTGATGGAAGCAATAGTACCCTTTGATCATTTCAGAGAGGCGAGTAAGCTCTGCCGCTTCATAGCATGGCCAGTGGCATCCAACGATAATTTGCGGAGCGTTTACTCGACAAAAGTTGAATAAGAAAAACTCTAGATTATGTTGCCATCGACATAGGAGTCGATATGAATTGAGGAATCTACTAGTCAGTGTTTTGAATCCTTACATGACTGAAGAATCTTACTTTTCGGATGCTTCCTTTGCAGCGTCAGCCTTGGTATCTTGAACAAGCGGCGAAGATATCGAGGAAGGATGTCAATCAAAGCTTTTCAATGTGGTAGTACACGTCAATGTCAATCAAATTGTATAAGCGTTACAGAAACTATTTGTTATTAAAGAGTTTTCATGGTAGAATAGCTTTATGCTATCAAATTAGAGGATTTTATACTTCCTGGGGGACGATCTACTTTGTCTGAACCACCTGATTGAAGCTTTGCACAGTCGCATTATGACGACGTCATGGTGATGCACTCAAGATATCTGTAAATTACGTCATCCAAGTCTCCAAAGGAGCGGATCAGATGTTGAGGAGGATACTTTTGATACTTACATCACTTGATTGATATTAGCGACGAATGAAAGGGATATTTACTGTCGCAGCTCAATCTCGCACCCTTCTATGAGTGGAATTACAGGTAAGTCCGAGCTTCGAGGGTTTGCCATCATAGTGTCTGTGGTGGATCAATGGGTGGTCCCGCCACCAGGGTCCGCGATAAGATGCGGGGTCGAGGCTATCAACAGGGGCTGGCCGCCTTTATTCTGCCTTCTCAAGCCTCCTTCCAGATCCCCCCCGCCGAATGGGAAATCAACCACAGATGGTTATGATGGGTAGTGCACTTACGTCTTCCGGTCGTTTAACATCACCATCAACAATAATAATCTCAGTAACCGGAATATCGAAGATAGGGCGATATTGGCATTGATAGCTAGAACCTAGACAAGATATGATGCAAATCCGCCTAGATATAGCGACCATATCAACAATTACCACGAAGCCATAATCATATCAGGCACATGCGTCTTCTATCATTAAGTGAGAGGAGAGTGACATGGACGCACGAGTTGGAAGCACCAAGCATAATATTCAAATTGCACTTGACAGTTCTAATACCCTCCTGTAGCCCCTCTAAATTGATTTGTTCTTTCCGCCAGGCGTTGGCGCCAACGAGGGGAATCTTTGTTTTCCGAAAGATGGTGGCCAGTCGGTTAATAATGCTTTTGAGCTCGATCAATTTGGTCCTTGCCTGATTCAAGAGATGTGGAATGGTCGACTGGTTGCCATCCGGCAGGCAGGCCCGGTCCTCGACGAGTGATGCCAGTTGGTAGAGGACAAGCTCGAGATCAGCGACCTCGTTGTTCAGCGCATGGAGTCGCCCAGGCAAGCTTCGACAGAGCGACCGCAATTCGGCAAAGGCGGCACATGTTTGGGCAGCAAGAGTCGCTATGGCTATGGCGCCGGCGGTAATGGAGAGTGGATCCATCAAAGATTGCAAAGCTATAAGGGTCTCGCCGGCCTTTATGTACTATTCGACGGATCTAAACTATAAAAGGCGCAAAAAGCAACGCAATAACAGAAAGAATGGTAAGGGCCGTACCCAACCCATGGGGATGGGATGCCTCTCCAGCTTCGCCTGTATTTGTGATGTGATGAGCCTAACTGAATGGTCTCGCGGAGGTGGCACAATGCGCCACCAATCAAATCGTCAGCATTAGCGCCGGGACGTTCGCTCCATGAAACGCCAACGACGGATCGCCCCGCACCGTGATCCCGAACCCGCTGAGGCACCCACCCGCAAGCTTTTCCTACCCATAGCCGTCTCAAGACATATAGCCACATCTACATTGCACCAATTTATTTCTTAGCCCATGAAGCCGCGATGAAATTTAGTCAGAATTTCCACCTATTTCAGGTACCAGAATGGGAATCGTTCTACATTAACTACGACCTCTTAAAGAGGCTATTGAATGCAACGGCTAAAAAAGATCTCTTGAAGATACCACGCAACTTTACAGGTCTGTTAAATGTCCAGCTGCCTGCGACACAAATTTTAACGACCCTTTAGAGCTTTATGCATGTCTCGGCTCCAATATAGATTTGCTGAATACATTTCGCAGCCGTAAATACGAGTTCTTGCATCGGAAGGAGGCGGAGCTTCGCAAAAGATATGGCATTGAACTCTATCTTTCTACCATCCCGGCTTTAGATGAGGTTGACGACCACGAGCTTCAAGTCCTTTACGAAGCTTTCACTGAGCTTCGCCAAGAACTAACGAAGTTACGGTGGTATGATAGAGTGAATCAAGATGCCATCCACAGGATATATGCCAAGCTGGAGAAGTTCGGCAAGACGATTGGGCCATCTCACTACGACCACAAGTCTACATGGATTGGCTTGCAGCTCGGTTGGGAAACACAGAGTCTGAAGGATGTCGAAAGATTGAACAATTTGGTCAGTGATATCAGTCGGGCGCAGTCCACAGTGCAATCTGGCTCGTCACTTAGGTCTCTATGCCTAAAGAACGTTTGCGATTCGCATGCTCTGGCGTACCCGAGTACTGAATACCACGCGATAGAGACAATGAACCCTCTATCTTGGCCAGATTGCTGGATCGAAAGAACTTGGTGAATGATTCTCCAAGTTCGGGCCTGGAGGCACTTCTCTCTGGTCTATTGGAGTTCTCGATGACGTGTCAGTCTAGAGGATGTACTGACATTTTGTTGTCAGCGAACTTGTCCAACGTAGGCGATGTCATCGATCACAGTTTTTTAAATCACCTCATTGCCGTTAGTGGTCGAAGCAGTATGCCAGCACATCGTGGCGACTCGAAGTGCCGTACCCAAGGACCCGCAGATCACAGCGATACCGAGAATGGGGTCAGTCGGCTTTTCCAGGCGCTTGGGCAGCTTGGACCCAGCCAAAGAAGCGTCTTACAAATAACCGATACTTTTGGGCGTCTTCCTCTTCATTATGCTGCGCGATACGGCTTGACAGCAATCTGTCAGTCGATATTGGATTCTCTGCATGACCTCAAACAGGGTTCTTCTGCTGTTAGAGAAGCCGTTTTATCAAAAGACTCTGAAGGATACACACCGCTATACTCCGGAGTAAGCCGCAACCACTCCGCAGTCACGAGACTTTTTCTGGAGACCCTTGAGATGGGCTATCAAACTAATGATCAAGCTAAAGATGAGCATCTGAGAAGTGTGCTGAGTGACCTCCTACTTCTTGCCCTTAGATCGCGTTATGACGACATAGTCCATCTTCTCATATCCAGCCATATCAACATCAACCATCAATCCAGCCGTGGAGAGACAGCCCTTTGTGTTGCAGCTAAAATAGGACGTGAAGATTACGTCAATACAATCCTTAAGGCTTCGCCTAATCAAGATGTCATCGATATTTTTGAAACAGTAAACGGCTGGACTCCATTGTTTGTTGCCTGTGCAAGGGGCCATCTGGAGATCGTGGAGCTTCTATTGAATGCTGGCGCGAGCCAGACGATACTTGATCATAGGGGGTGGACAGAAAAACAACATGCCGCATTTAGAGGCCACCTAGCTGCGGCTTCTATTCTCGAAGATTATTTTACGGGAGAATCGTCTGGTGGTACTGCTAGCAAGTTCTTTAACATCGCAATAGGTGCTAACAACAAACTTTGGGATGGCTACAGTCACATCATCGTCAACCTTGGCACTATGCAAGAAGGAAAGCAAGTAACGGCAGTTGATTTGAGTTGCTGCTCTTCGGAGTTTAGCCTGAGTTTAGAAGCAGATACTAGATTCTCGATCGAAGTCTCAATACATGGAGGAAGCGGATCAAGTGGTCTCGTCCAACTACCCATATTAGACGATATGGTTAATGACCCTTTTATATTCCGTACCAAGAACCTCAGCAAGGCGCAGCTCGTGTTCAGCATATTCTGTGCAACTCCTGTCGAGGGAAAGAAAGGTATCCTTGTTGGTAGTGGCACGGCTCTTTTGGAAAGTGACAAAAACCAATTCTTTGGAGTGCAGCGTGAAAGTCTAATTAGAGAGCTCAGCGTTCCCATTCTCGAGAGAGAGACATTGAAATTCATGGGTACCGTAACATTTACGTTTGTTATAGCAAAACCCTTCATACACTTGGATACTCCTTCGGTTGTTTATCCATTCAAAGACGAAGGTCAAATACAACTAGTTGGACATAGAGGTACGTTTTCTACCTACCCACTCTGTTGTTTACATATGCTGATCTAGGAAAAGGACTTGGTCAGAACACCACTAGCCGCAAACATCTTCAGCTTGGTGAAAATACGATAGAGGTAGATGTCACGCTTTGCAGTCAAATTCGTGAGACTAATGCGTGAGTTATAGTCTTTTCTCTCCGCTGCAAGGCTGGGTGCGTCACTTGTTGAGGTAGGCTCTTGATACTAGGGCAACGTGGACGGCTGTTGACATCGTGCAGTTCGGTAATGAGTCACTTGCAGAGAGCTTGTTTTTTTAATACTGAATATGACTAGACGTGCAACTGACCCGGGACCTCGTCCCTGTCATCTACCACGACTTTTCTTTGAGCGAGTCAGGGACTGATATTCCCATCCACGACCTGAACTTTCAGCAGGTCCGTGTCTTCCAAGCGACTCTGACATAAATTCTTACTTTCTTAGTTCATGTACGCCAGCAATGTCCAATCACCGAGAGGCAATCCCATCTCTGTACTTGGAGGACCGATCCTGCAAACGGCGCGGGGCCAAACTGGTCGAGGCAAACCTCGTTCGAGGTCGTTGACAAGCGATCGAGAAAGGGGGGTCGATGACGTCCAGGACAGGATGAAGCACACAGTCGACTTTATGAAGAAGGGATTCAAACCGAATACTCGGGGCGATTTCATCCAGGACTCCTTCGCCACTCTAGAAGAGTTGCTCATCGAAATGCCGGAGACTATAGGTTTCAACATTGAGATAAGTACGTTCTAACAAGGGCTACCGGATCTGAAAATAGGCCTGACACTTAGCAACTAGAATACCCCAGAATCCACGAAGCGGTAGAAGCCGGTGTAGCACCTGTGGCCATCGATCTCAATACCTTCATTGATACTTCGACAAGATCTACCGTTTCGGCGGCAACCGGACAATTATCCTCTCGTCCTTCACCCCAGAGGTTTGCATCCTCTTAGCTCTCAAGCAGCGAGCATACCACGTCATGCTAATCACCAATGCCGGGAAGCAACCCGTGACAGACAAGGAGCTGCGAGGCGGCAGTCTGCAAGTCGCGGTCCGCTTTGCAAAGCAATGGAACCTGGCCGGCGTCGTCTTTGCGGCCGACACGCTACTGCTATGCCCGCGACTCGTCAAGTACGTGCAGAACTTGGGACTGATATGCGCGTCGTATGGCCTCGAGAACAATATTCCCGAGAATGCCAAGATGCAGGCAGCAGCTGGCCTTGATATGATCATGGCTGACAGAGTCGGGTTGGTCGCGAAAAGCTTGGGGCTGCATCCGTATGATAAGGTTGGCCTCTAAGCATTCTCTCCACGTACCTTCTTCCCCAGTTACCATAGGTAGACCAAATTAGACGATGAGCATGGTTAGCACGAAACTCGTCAAACTCATGAATGTCGTACAGCTTCTCTTAATAAATAATAAGCTTCGCAATTCAACGCCCCGTTCGCGCCTATGCGCTTGCCTCCTAATCTCTTAGAGCAACAATTGCCTTGTTGAACGCCTGAAATATCCCGTCATACATTATACCGTTGTCACGGAACACTGTAAATTGCCCGTCCCTAATTGGAATGGAATGAGCACGTTTCACAGCTCACGAGCAAATTGCTTCTGGTCTTCGAATTGTGGTGCGAATTCAGCAACGAGGCCCTCAAACCCGTTTTTATCCATGTCGTTAGCTCATAACCGGAATATCGAGCATATGTTGCTATACTTACCACTTCATTTGTGCAGTCGATGAGCGAAATAGACGACAATTTCGCAACTGCTGCATGACACGTGCTAGGTCGATCTCGCCTTGGGCCGGACGGTTCTGCTGCATCAGACTGCGTCTGCATGGGGTTTAATGGCCAGGATCAAATCCACTGGGGTATCGAGAAGGCCGTAGTCGATGAAATGTAGACACATAATATCACCTCCCAAAACGAAACGCATAAAAATCAAGAACGTATTTCGAACAAAAGACAGCTTCCTCTATGGCGTGGGCGCATAGGTCTACTACCGTAACACCCCCCTCCGCTTCAACCGCATAATAACTCCAGTCTGCCGTACGTGCTGACGACAAGTCACTTCCCACTCCTCCCTGGACGCAGCCCATTCCATATCAAACACGCGCACGATCTGACCCACCGTTTTCGTAAGCGCCATCATCGCAACATGTTTCCCTGCGCATGTTAGATTCCACGATCGACAGATAGAAAATGGAGACTAGACTTACCTACACATCCCCTCGTACCCTGCCCAAACTACGTAGCATAAGTGACGGCACAATCGCATGGAGAGCAGAGGGAGGTACTCACAGCCAACGTACTCCGATCCATCACCCTGACCTGCTTTTCATCTGCATCCAGCCATCGCTCTGGGCGGTAAGATTCAGCGTCATCCCCAAATACTTGCTTATCCCGCTGCGTCGCCCACCCACTAATCCCAACAACAGTGCCTTCAGGTATGAAATGGCCGCTTAGTATAGCCCCGCCTTTGGGCACGACTCGGTCGAAGGGCGTGCCGACGATGGGGTACATGCGTAGTGCTTCTTTGATGCAGGCTTGTCTGCTCGGCGTTAGTTGCGGATGAGGCTGCGGGCTATGAGATCTGCAAATGGAGGAGCTTACAGGTAGGGTAGTTTCTGACCTTCGGTAAACGACAGGGTTTCAGAGAGCAGACCTTTGGCATCCGCGTCTTGGAGCTCTATCACGAGTTTCGCATAGGTGTAGGGCGTCTTAACGAGGTAGTAGAAGCAGGCGCGGAGACTAGCGGAGTTGGTATTCACGGCGCCGACGCTGTTGCCGCAGGTTAGCTCCTGAAGTGAGGTGTATGCCACTGTAGCTACTTACAAAAAAATGAGGATGTTGTTGATGAGCTCCCGGTCTGTCATAGTCTGGGGGTTCTTGAGCTGCTTCTGCCGCAGGTACTCAAGGAAATCGCCGCGTAGGTCTGTCGACTTCTCGTCGTACTTGTCTATAGCTACACGCGCAGCCTATACCATTTAGTAGTTGACATGTATAGTTCTAAGGGGGCTACATACTTCTGTAATCAACCGCATCGGGTTCGCATTTGAGATGCTGTCTAAGAACTGGACTAGGCGTGGATTGCCTAGGAGGTATTTGTGGAGCCAACGAGTGTCCCGTAACTCATAAAGGACCAAGACGATTCGATTACGCCGTTAATGTCCTTCGCTTGTTCCATGAATCCAAAGAGCTCCTGAAACGCAAGGAGACCTGTGAGATCAAATGAATACCTAAGGGAAACAACTTAGCAATTATTAGGTACAGGACAACTAGGATACTAACCAGCTACACCACGACCCAAAGTCAATAGCTAAGCCAGCGCACTTGTCCATCTCAGCTACAAAAAGGGGCATGCATTTATCAAACAGTGGCTCTAGCTGCAGCATTGACGATAGCGAGTATTTGAACGCAACGGCCGACTTTAGGGCCTTATGGAGGATAGGGTCCCGGGTGGTGAACATAACTCTCCAGCGATTTGCCATATATCAAATCGGTGGAGAGTTAAATGGCGCCAAATCACTAGACTGCGCCTCGTCAGAACTCCACTACTAAATGGACAGCTAGTCGAGTAACTCACCTTCAGATACAAGTGCCCCGACAGATAGATCTCCGGAATCATCGCCGCGTCCCCAATAGACACGCTATTCGGCCCCGTCCTGACGATCGGCCCATACCTCTTGTGGATATTCTGGTAGACGACATGCCCGTCCCCCTTAATATGGACCCAAACCTTCCACAGAAGCGTGAAACGGGCCAGCACAGGGCCAGGAAGCTCGCGCAACCCGGGCCGGAAATAAGAGACCACGAAGCTGGAGAGAAAGGAGGTGATAAGGAACACGAAGGCAACAAGAGCAAGTTGGCCGGCTGTGGCGCTGTGGTTCTCTTGGATAGTAAACATCATTGTGATAAACAGAAGCTGGGGACATAAATTGAGATTCTAAAAGCAAAGAGCGGAACACTTATATATCCCCAACCAGCAGCAACGCCCTACCTCACGGCCAGAACTCTAACCTCATATGACAGACCCCATAGTTTGGGATAGTACGATAAATCGCATCCGCAGAAGAGGGAGATGGGTTCGTCCCAAGCTTGTGTGGCCAGCACCAGCGGATTAAATTGTGGGTCCGAACATCCATTTATCCACTATGCCACCCCAGGTGCCACCCGATGGTCTCGATGGTCACCACCCGATGGTCTCAATGGTGCCTCACCAGCAACGGAAGCCTCAACGACGCTGCACAGCGTATCCCATGCTGTCCTTATGTCCTGTATAAGTGGGTGCTCGGGGTCAACAATGTCAAAAGCTAACAGTTCTTCAAAGGATCCCATATCAAGAAGTGTTAAGTAATTAGCAAGATCCTGTGGAAGATCATCTTCGCAAGCGGAGAATCTGGTTTCCATTTCAAGTAGATGGGATTGCACAGAAGCTCATTGCAACAGAACTAGCAACAAGCCAACGGATGCAGAAGGTGATGGGAGATTTTCAAAATAGAAGACTGGATTCATCGGAAGATACCAACGGTGGGGGGATCCTGGCAGTCTCCCACGGGATCACCTAGAGAAAGTATCGGTCAAAACCTACAGTGGGGGTGCTACACGTTCCACGCCCTCGCGGCGTCAGTGGGCTGCGATTCCTTGGGACCGCATTGCGATTGGCAGTTCACAGGCATGCAGTTCAATCATGGGAAGCAGGAATATGTGGAGGTGGTCACTCAGCTCGTGTCGACATCTAGCTGCCCAGGGCTGGAGGATTGCAAACTCACGGATGTAGTGCTACTAGATGATTTCACGCATTTGCAGGCGCTGAAGGTTAATGTGACGGTTGCCGGAGAGCCGAAGAATTGGTGGATGGATGATTTGAAAATGGAGTGGGCGGATGGGAGTTGTGATGCTGGGTTGTGTCGCTCTATGCATCGTTGAGCAACCATGATGCTGCGATGTATTTCAGATGTTGAGATGTTTGTGGGTGGCTATGGGCGACTTGTATGATTACGAATTTGCGGCTTGTATGTTATATGGCTAGATCGATGGATGAGAGATGGGTTTGCTTTGCTTGCTTTACTATCTGTACGCCATGGGTTATCTCCGGCTGTCTATGGTATTAAGGTGGAAGGTTAAGTTACAGGGTTATAGTTCTTATACCTGAGGCTATGATTTGAAAGACACGGCACTGTGTCGTATAATCAATCAGACTAAAGTTCTATGCAATAAAAAAATGCTTCGCATTATCCTGGCTACCTGATAAATGACCATTTGCTTCAGGAGTCATCAGCTTTTCCATACGATGGGGAGGTTACAATACGACAAAGTGTTCTAGGGATATGGGGATTTTTTCCTCTTCGAGGTGAATCACTCATGAACAGCTTGAAAGTATACTCCCACCTTGAGAAACATTCCACAGATGCCGAATTCCACGGAGACGCGCGCCCCAAATAACGCGAGCAACGATTCGTCCTCCATCACATAACCCCGACAAGCCCTCCAGAAGTGTGGACTCAGCCCTATATAATCCCCAATACTTGCTATTAAAAGGAATCGATGCAGCTTGCACGCCTGTCCACATGGAGGTCAAGGGTTCGCACACACAATGCGTGCATCCCCCCGATCGTGCATGCTGTAAGCCCTGCAGCTTTCTTGTGCGACCATCCAACATACATGCACGCACCCAGATAAGACATCGTCGACGGCCAGGCAGGGCCTTTGCAAGCCACGATTTTGAAGGGCAAGCTGAACGCGCGGGGTGAAGAGTGCGTTCCGTTTTCCCCGGCGGAATTTCTTCGGGACGGCCAACGGATTTTGGAGGGGAGGAGTTGTTTCGGGCCGGGTGGAGCGGGATGGCTCAGCTGGGAGGATGGAGAGTTGGAATTTACCTGTGGACAGCGGCTCCCGACGGCCCTGTGGCGCCCATTTCAATAGAGGCCTCGACTCTTGCAACGTAATCGGGACAACCCCCAACCACCTAGCGCCGAATAGTCCGTAGGTCGTGTTCTTGGAGCTGGCCGCCTACCACGACTATCTATTGGTATAGAGAAGCTGAGGCAAGTATTCTAGCCACCAGCGACTGGCTGGAATACCATTTCATATTGCTAACAATAGCTATACAAACTAATCAAATTTGTTGTGTCTCTTTCCAGTTGCACTCGCTAGGATATGTGCTGAGATGGTAAACTTCGCCTTATCCAAGTATGTTACGGTATTGCCCATGTTCGGTGTTCGTTTTTCTACAGCCTGTAACAGGTTTGCATGAAACCGATCCGACAGCACAATTTTGACTGTTGCATATTCCCCACAGGCACTCAGAGGCTATAGCCAAAATGTCCTTTTCCTCTCTGCTAATTGCCCCGTCGGAGAGGTGAATAACAAGCGGGCTGCTCAAATCCTATAAAGCCCTCCCAAATCCCATCGTGCTACGTTCCCTTCAAACACCAAAGACTACCTATATAACAGACCAAGTCCAACTGCTCAGCTTGATCCTGCCTCAAGATCACTCTTTGTAACGCTGTGGCCGCCATCACAGTACAATCGCTATCAAAATAAGAGTGCCCAAATACGGAACCTCGCCAAGGAATATTTTGGTCGCAAGCGCTGCATTAGTGTGTGGAGTGTTACAACCCTTGTCGACGTGATAAACTGTAGTTAATGTTGAATTGCTGGTTATGTGACGCGCCAGAGACCAACAAGACGACTCTGAGAAGCCTGTCGGATCTCCACAGCCCGATTTGTCAACCTCCTTCGCCTGCTCCAACCCTCTCTCCCAACCTGATCGGCATGCTAGATTAGATCCGATAGGGCGAGACGAAGTATACGACCTGTTTATAGTTTGATCTCACCGGTGGCGCCGTACTCGTCGATCGGGGGGGAGTTGTGGGTGCGTGTGACGTTGGTGTTGCTCTGTGTGACGAATTCGAGGAGCAGCGGCGCGGATGCGGGAGTGTAGGGGTCTTTGGGGGGAGGGGCGACGACGAAGCCTTGAGAGAAGTAGAAGTGGTGGTAGGGGCTGGGAATGGGTTGGGTTTGGACATCGTTGGAGTTTGCTGCACCGGCGGGGTGGGGGATGTCATCAAACTGGGGCAGAGGGTTAGAGTGTTATATCTGTGTAGGTTGAGATAGGGAAACTTACAGTAAGCCTGAAGATACCTTGCTCGCCGCATGATGGAACAACGGCAACAAGAGGACAAGTGGATGTGGCAGTGGTAGAGTCAGCCGGGACAGGTATAGGTTTTCTCATCCGAGCTTCTCTCGGTTCAGGAATGTAAGTTGAGAAAAAATGTCCAGATGTGTACATGGTGGCCTTTGAAAGATCCGCGGGAAAGGTGACTGTGGTGATAAATGGAAGCTTTAAGGTGACTGTTGCAGCTTCGTCAAGAGGCACCAGAGGCGCATGAGTACCAGCAGGCCAGGCCATATACGTGGTAGAGTCAGCCGGGGCAGTTGTAGGTTTTTTCAACCGAGCTTCTCCCGGTCCAGGAATGTAAATTGAGAAAGATCGTCCGGAAGTGTATACGGTGGATTTTGAAAAATCCACAGGAACAGTGACTGTGGTGATAAATGGAAGGCCTACGGTGATTTTTGTAACATCATCAATAAGAGGTACAAAGAGAATTGCGCCAAGTGCTGCAGGAGTCAGATAGGCATTTTATGCTTTGGGAATAGAATACATACCGTCCTTGCGTTCGAGCGGTTTACTCTCGTCATTGGCAAAACCTTTCATAGCTGCCAGGGTGGTGAGTTGTGGCGGAGATTGTGCGCGAATCGTAACATTAGTTAAAATACCAACTGTTTGAGTGGGGGTAGTTTCGGTGCCATCTGAGAAAAGACTCGCCGACACTGGATCGTGAGAGATTGGAGCAACAGTGTGGTAAAGGGAATCGTCTGAACTAATTTCTGGCTCAATAGACTTCACAGGGTATACTGTAACAGTTTCAACTACGACATCATCGCCGCCAGAACTAGATTGTGCTTCGGTGGAATTAACCACCACCTCGGCCGTGGTCACTCCCGTTCCAGTGGGGGCCGTGAGATATTGAGAGGTGGTGTTAACCGTCATTGGGTCCTTTGTCGCTGCCGTTACAGTAGGTGCTGTGAGATATTGGGATGCGGTGTTGACCATCAATGGGGCCTTGGACCCATCCGATCCAGTAGGGACTGCGAGGTTTTGAGATGTAGTGTTAACCGTCTCGGGGATTGTAGGGCCTCCTGGGAGATTATGCTCTTCCTTCTCAGTTGGGGAAGGACCATCGTGTAGGAAACGGACAGACGTGAACTCCCAGATATCAATATCAGAGCTCGGAACCCCGGAAATGTCGATAGTAACAGTGACAGTTTTGAATCCAGTATGAGTTCTTGTGACTGTGGTAGTCAGTCCATCAGAAACGGCTTCAATATGCTGAGTCTCGTCCTTATGAAGGTTAGCAAGAGCTATATCATCTATAGGCATTGAAAGGGTTGTTGTTACCAAGTGGTGGGCAACGCCAAAGGTTTTAACTGTCACGTAGACCGCGATGATGCTGCAAAGCTTGCTAGGGTGCCCATCTTGAAGACTTGAGAACTATTAGCACGCCAATATCGTTCATTAAAAGTAGATCGACCACTTACAGGGCAGCTGCGGCAGCTGGAGCAGCAGAGGAGATGCCACAAAGGGCAAGGACTAATCCAAGATACACCAGGAGGTGCATCTCGAAAGAGTTGGTACAAAGTAGAGATGGAAGAAGTATCAAATCAACGGATCAGAATATAGAAGGATAAGGACCGTGAGGGGACGTATGTCCTTCAAATGAGTGTGATGAAAGAGGGTGAGAAAGAAAGGTGTTGTTGTGAAGTGGAGGAAGTGAAGTTGTGGTAGTTGACGGGAAACCGTGGGCAGAGGGTTGACACGTCTGTCAACCCCCCAAGCGGCCAATTGTAGAAGGAACGAGGAAAAAAAAACACTTGAATTTCACTCAGTTGGGATGACCGTAACTTCCTATATATCTTATACATCTTATCAACAAGGCCACTCATGAAAATTAATCTCCAATGGCTGTATAAAACCATTAATGGATGACTGAACTTTGGTATAAACTCGTACAAACATTTCTGTGTTATTATAGATCAACTGGTCTGCTCAGAACTTTGTGCCAACTCCATAGTCACCTTATAAATCTTGAGTCAGGCGGCAGGATCATTCTAGAATAATAAAACATGCGAGATAGTAGATAGGACTTCAAACCACAGACGTGTCGCAGTTGACATGTTCCTGTGAACAAACATGGTTTCTGTAGAGCATAACGAGAAACAACTTTGCCTCCCTCTTTCATCTCATAATGGCTAAAAATAGCATTTCACGTAGACCAAAAAAAGACGTGGAAATCCAACTCAACAATAGTAAATATTAATCATAAATAATTTTTATGAGCATTATACCTGATCTTCCGTATCCGTATACTCTGGCGGAAACTCATCATTGACTTCTGCTCCTCCCACGACTGACTCAGCAGCCAACAACCGCCGCTGCCTTGCCTCTTCCAAATCCGCAACCCACAGCGCTGAGCCAGCAGCAGATGTAAGCAAGAAGAACATTGACAACACTGGGACAAGCTGCAGCAGTAGCGCAATGGTCCCAAACCTGAGTCCAAGAGTTAGTATAGAATTCATCGCCTTCCCCACGTCACACTGATACTAGTTTAGTGCAACATACCAAGTATAGCCCCATCGCCGACTTTCCACCTCTTTATTCCGCTCCTTCCTCCCCAACCCCCTCAACTTAAAATACCTCCAATGCTGCAATGGCCCGGCCCTCCTCCCCGTAAGAATCAAGAACAGCGGCACGCCCGCGAAGGGAATAAAATTCAGCGGGAGGAACAGCACAAATTCCGCAATCTGACGGAAGCTGAATGGGCCATACACTGCCTTCTCTGTCGGTGGGCCGAGGGCCTTGACGGAGTTTGACGCGGCGGGAAAAATGGTGCGAGAGGGTGAGAGCAGGGCTTCTTGGTGCTGGGAGAGGAGGGTCGCGTCAAAGACATCCACAAGTGTTTCGTCGACGAAGAAAGCTTCGAAGAGGAGGGCGACGATGACGGCGCCTGTTCATAGTCAGCTTCCGCGCTTGATCTTTTTGGGGCGATTTTCTAAAAGGGCGGCTGGTGCCTAGATCTCGAAATGTAAAAGCGCCGACTCACCTTCTCCCAAAACCAAAAACGCAGCACTCACAAACGCCGCAGGGCCATGAAATATAGCCAACAGCGCCGCCTGTGGCAGGAAAGCAAGCATAAACAAGAGGGTATACACCAGTAAACTCAGGAACAGCATGGGTATCAGACGCGTCTTGAAGAGGCTCCAGAACGGAGGGTGGGCGATGAAGAACCAGACACCCCATATGGGGTAGAGCGCCGGGTAGAGCGCCTTGCCCAGCGGCGTTAGGTACCGCATTTTGTGGTGATGTTTGGGACGGTGAGAGATAAGGTCGGTGAGGTCACAGTAGATGACGACGTCCGCGCTGGTGGAAAATATGTTTTTCCGGTGGGTGAAAATTCAACAGACCACCATATAAGGGTGTATCAGATGGTAGATCGAGAATGCAGATGCCTTACGAAATATAATTATTTAAGGTGATGTCTACAGTTAATGCAATGTTATTTGAAAAGAGGAAATTAAAGCTTTGTATATGTTTTTTTTGGTCATAATAGCCTGTTCTAATCTATGTGTAATCTATGTGTATCAAAAAGTCTAAATTGGCCTAAGGCCCTATCTACGAATAATGTACAAAAGGACGCTGGAACCGGCCAATATTTCTAGCATTAATATATATATAAGAAATCAATGGCCGGCCCGAGAGAAAAAGGTATCGGTGTCACTGGATACCACCCTCCCACTCTTCCTGCTCAATCCATTCATTCCATTTATCTGGCGCAATCCCTGGAGTTCCGGTGGCACTCGTGCTTGCAGTTACAGTCGCATCACTCTTCAATCTGGTTGGAACTCCCGATATGACATCAAGGCCCCTTTTCACGGCAGCTGATTCTAGCTGGGCGGGTGCAATGCCACCCCCGACAGTTGAGTCGAGTCCGCCGACATGAGTCTTCGTGGCTAAATCCAGCTTTCTCGCGGGTGTTCCGGCGTAGGAAGTATCCAAGCTGCTGTCAAAAGAATCAGGCGCATTGAGCGCCTCATTGCCAGCCATAAGCATGCCCATAAGGGGATCGTTTGGAAATCCAAGATTCGCATCGAAAAGGCCGTCATCCTGTGGTGTCGCAGTTGCAAACGGGTTGAACTCGCTATCTGCAGCCTGGATGTTGACCTGCGGCATGTATGTTTTGTCGCATGGTGCCCCTGCAGAGATAGAACTATCCGTGCCGTTGAAATCATTAGGCCCAGGCCGTTTAGAGAGCTGCGATTGTTGCTCGAACGATCGAGAAACTTTCACCTCGGGTTGCTCGATAGATTGCAAGGCAGGCGACTCTGATTTTATTTCGACTGGCATAGACTTGCCACGACTTGGCTTCGAAGTATCCGGACTTGGCGGCTTAACTGTTGCTGATTGCTGGAGTTTCATCGCAGACTCGGCTTGACACTGGTTGCGATACTGGCGTCGATTGTGGAGGTTCTGCGTAACTTGTGGCTGTGGATCAAAATTTTGAAACTGATGTTGCGGCAAATATGCTGGAGGCTGAGGTATGGTGATTGGCATTGTCGGCATGATATTGGGCATAGCATACGGCGGCGGGTGGCCATCGCCCATCATTTGCGCCCGATAACCCATCTGCGCATTCATCATACTGGCGACGTTCGGATAAAAACTGGGAACCTGGCTTGCTTGATGCGCTGCCTGTGCAGCTGCCTGTGTGGCATATGAGTCTCGCAGGGCCCCTTCAAGAGCTGACCGCATTTGAATGTGGTTCGTGAGGTAATCTGACAACTGATGGCGGCTGAAATCGGTAGACTGGCTATGGAGGGCGCTGAGGCACCGATAATGGTGTGGGAGATCGTCTTCCTCCTCCTCATACATCTCTTCGTTTATTACATCTTCCTCAGAGACTCGTAATGATCTGCCGGTCCGTCGCTTGTGTATTTCTGATGCGCGCCTGGCTGATTCTACACGTGCTTCTAATGAGCGGTCACTCCTCCTTGAAGCGGCGATGTAGGCCCGCTCCTGGTTCTCCTCGTGTGTACGTTCGGTCTGAAGCAGTTAGTGACTCTGTTGGATGGAGTGATATGAGACAACTACCTTGATTGCCTTAGCAGGCGGGATGCATCTCAGAGGAGGCATCGTAATAAGCAAATACAATTGAATATAATTGAATTGAACAGAATTGAACAATTTTAAACCTGGCCACTGCAGAGTAGAGGAACTGAACGCAAAAAAAAGTTGGTTTCGGCAGAATCAGATGTATTAAGAAATAATTGGAAGCTGGACACAAGCTTAGGGAGGGACACGACCGTGGCGATCGTGATGGTTTGCAATGCTGTTTAAAGCGGCCTAATTGTTGAATAAGGCCAGCGATACTGACGCGATAGTGAAGTTATGAAACAAAACGGAGGTAAGGCCCGAAGCCCTACCTCTTGTTGCTCTACTGATCCATGGGCCAAATGGATTTTGCGATGGTTGTTCGACGTCAAATCGAGCTGTGCATGACGTTACCCCGGATTCATAGACCACAACAAGAGGCTATCAGAGCTCGACCCCTGGGATTTTAGTCAAAAATATAAATCATCTCTAGTAGCGCATCATTAGTAGGCTATGCTCCTGCTCTCTCTTCATCTAATATCCAACGAGATTCCTTATTCTGTGGAGACATTACTTCAACGACTTCAACGACTTCAACGTGCTGGTGGTGTTGTCCTAGGCCGACTGAGAGCTCTCGATTTGGTGCTGAGGGAGGAGCGACCAAGCCCGGGAAGGCCTTCCGCGCCGCCTGTAGCCGCCACTTGATGTCACTTTTTCTGGGTTGTGCCCCGCAAACCATATATCAACTTGGTCTGATAAAGCTTCAGTCGAGAATGGCCGCTATAAAGTTACAAAATTCACCGCCATAGCGAGCATTAGTAAAGCACTAAAGCTTGAGTCCAGTGATAAATTCCTCGGACTTCAACCCCCGCTCAGTGCTTTCTCCTGAGAATGAGTTCGTCGTTGCTCATAATTAGTCAGGAGCAACATGCAATTCAACTCTCCTATCCTCGCATCACCCCACTTCCCGGACCTTGCTCCGCCCTTGATACTTCCCCGAAGTCGCATGCCAGTTCAACCTTATCTGAAAATAAGCATAGGCCATGAGATTGAGCACTTGAATACAGATGAACACCTTCCATTAGTGTTGCAAAGTCTGAGGCATGGCTAAGACGTGTTGTGTTCATACTGTTTTGTATTACGCTGGCTGTGCTGCATTCTAATTCATATATCGAAACCCCCATCGGGCAAAAAGAATATTCCCAGCATATCTGGCGGTAGTACCGTCAGCGCGGAATTAAAACAGCTCGGCTTTCGGCACTTACCACCATTTCCGCGATATCGTTTCTGGTGCACCTGGTGCAGTCGTTTGGCGATGCTTGTCATTCTAACCATAGACTCATAACGACGTCGTCAAAAACTTTATTTGACTGTTTTACCGATTTTTGGATGTCCTATCCAATCCGAAGTTCGCTGGAACATAGAGAGCTTCAATCATCTGATCTTCTTGGGTGGACAAATCCGTAGCTCTCTTCACCCATCATGCGACCAGCGTTGCTCTCTAACCCGCGTAATCGGGCAAGTCATGATCGCGCTCCATGTACTTTGGTAATTGTTCCTCGGTCTCGTCGGGCGTGTAAGAAGATGAGGCCATGTTCCCAGCGGCTACGGAATGCCGTCCATCGTTCTGCTCTGTATCGTTCGACGAGTCACCTGGCACGCCCGTAGGTTGTTCTGGCGGCGGTATGCGAGGTGTGCTTGGCGAGGATAGTGCTTGCAGTTGATACCCCATTTGAGATGGGCGGAATTGGCTTTGCGTGCTTGGACTTCCCATGGTAGGCCCTCTAGCGGGCGACTCTGCGCGCTCTAGGATAGCGGATGTAGCTTCCTGATCGCGTTTGCGTTGTCGAAAGGCCCGAATAGCCCAAGCATTGATGCAGATGAAGAAAGTTAAGCTGACGCATAGTATCCATACGACAACCATTATGTTTGAGGCTTCGCGAAGCGGATGACTGGTATAACGGGTGTCCGCGGCAACAGCGTTTGTCGCTTTGATTGTTGTGCTGGTACCATACATATTGGTGAGAGGCAGCGTGATGGAATGTATGAGAAGAGAGATATTATCGTCGTTTATGTGATAGGCAGAGCTAAACACAGTGCGGAAGGCACGAACTAGGGTAAAGGATATGGAAATATATAGGAATGGACGAGATACATGGATCAATAATATAGGAAAGAACGAATGAGTTGGGAAAGAACGACAGGTGATATGGATAAAAATTAGGAAGGAACGGGGGGCAACATGGACAGAGATAGGAAGTACGAGAGGCAGAGTATAAACAATAAGAAACTATTCTCGTGACACCTAGCTTTCCTCTATTTGTGGTGTATTCCACGGTACATGACATTGAGGCCACTGAACGAAGTGCCTTTTAAGGGTGAATCTTTGCACTTATCTAGGAGGACAATACAATTCGGCGAGAGGTCAAACTCTATATCGAAATGACGAAGTCCTTGACAATAAATGCAGAAGAAACGTTTGCTACACATCGTATTGCAAACAAATACTGTCGTATTATTGTCGCATTGATGTCTCGGTCGGGAAGCCCACGATCCGCAATATAGGATTTGTACGAGAGATATGGGCGTTTAGAGCGCTAATCCAGGTCAATGCAGCCGCCGGCCCCTGTTCCCCGGATATTTCGTCATAATTGCCGACGCCGCATCGGACCTCGTCAAAACTTTATTTCTATCGTAGCGGGGTGTACATTCTCAACGCCATTCTCTCGCCGACTCGCTCAATTATCCTTCCTTCGCTCTCGGATCCATAGTAATAGCTCAATTGCTTTGCCCCTCCTGATATTCCCGTTGGCTCTAAGCTATTGGAGGATCGGCAATCGCAAAGAGTCCCCTCGGCTATATAGGCGCCATGGCGTCGACGACAAAGGCGCCGGAGAAGCGCAAGGAGAAGCCAAGCGCTCTCCGTTCGGTGATAGCTGGGGCGAGTGCTGGTGCCGTCGAAATTTGTAAGTGCAGCCTTCTTAGAAACAGAGCCTGAAGGTGGGCTGTTTTTTAGAGCATGGGCTAATAATGCGACTGTAGCTATCACCTACCCTGCAGAATGTATGTTGGGACCCTTCTGAGCGACAGCGAAGCTATGGCATATAACTGAAAATGCTGCTGGTTGATTCTCTGGAGCATCCTCAAAGAGCACGATGCCGCCCCAGGAGAAATTACGCCGCATAGCTTCGTGGGCCGGATGCGCTCTTGATACCAGAGGACGGAAATATTGACAGGAAGATAGTTGCCAAAACCCGAACACAACTCAACCAACGGTTATCCGGCGCCGATAAGCTCCCATGGCCAAAATTCGGCCCAGCATGGTACGCCGGCTGCACAACGCTGATTATCGGCAACTCCTTGAAGGCTGGAGTCCGGTTCGTGGCATTCGACCAGTTTAAGTCCATGCTGCAAGATGAGAATGGACACATCTCCGGCCCTCGCACCGTCATTGCCGGCTTTGGAGCCGGTGTGACTGAGTCTTTGCTTGCCGTAACCCCATTTGAGAGTATTAAGACCACACTGTAAGCCGGTTTCTCCCTTGGACCCCATGCCGCGTGCTGACACTCCTAGGATCGACGATCGCAAAGCCGCAAAGCCCCGCCTGCGCGGTTTCCTCCACGCCGTTCCCATAATCGCACGAGAGCGTGGCCTTCACGGCTTCTTCCAAGGTTTCGTACCAACGACGGCACGCCAGGCCGCCAACTCGGCGACGCGATTCGGGTCGTATAACTTCTTCAAGCAAATCGCAGAGTCATACGTGGCGCCTGGCGAGAAGCTGGGTGCGGCGAGCACGTTTGGTATTGGTGGTCTCGCAGGCCTGATCACGGTGTATGTGACGCAGCCTGTGGACACAATCAAGACGCGCATGCAGAGTATTGAGGCGAAGCAACTGTATAAGAACAGCTGGGACTGTGGGAGTCAGCTTGTGCGGAATGAGGGTGTGTTGACGCTGTGGTCAGGAGCGTTGCCGAGGTTGGTGAGACTGATGCTTAGTGGCGGTATTGTGTTTACTATGTACGAGAAGAGCATTGAGTTGATGGATAGGGTGGATCCTGATAAGAGATACATTTGAGTGATGGAATAGATAGAGTAGGGGCTTCGTTTTTTTGTATGTCATACCGCCGCTAGACGATGTCAAAGCATCGAATGTAAATTGGGATAATAGATACTATGAGGGCTGAACTACGCCGTCGTCGGGCACTACGACCGGCCCATGCCCTTCGGGGCTTTTTATGTTGTGCAGCTACTTGTGCATTACCCCTATGCAGGACGTCCGGTCTATATAGCGCTTAATACGAGTACGTTTTAATTCAAAGGGCTCGATGGTCTAGTGGTAAGATGCCCGTCTCTCAATTATCGACCGGTTTTGGATACATCCAAACTCGCCTTCGGCAAGCCCCCGAGTTTGAGGTTGAGAACCGACAGGAGACTCCAGTTCGAATCTGGGTCTGGCCATGTTTTTGACTCTTTGATTTTTTGATTTTTTTGGCCTTTTTTGAAGAGGGAGGTTGCCCGTTCGAGTCGTCGATGAGGCTTTGTTGATCGAGCCTTTGTGTGGCGGCTGTGAGGCTTCTCACTTTCGTCACACGCAACCACAGCCACGGAGTTTGAACAATGGCCACCATTGTTGGCATTCTACACATCTAGGGCTTCTATTATTTGAACAGTTGTTTATACACATATATCACAATAATTTATAACTTGTTTAATCGTGTATATATTCCTCTCTATAGTAAAGGTAGGTAGGCGTCCACCAAGAACAATCTTGGCGGTGGAACTTACAACCCGCCCACGATTCTAATAACCACTCGCCTAACTTAATACCTGAAGCAGTCCCCACGCCGGATCATTCAGACTGCGGCCGAGGATACCACCGAGTCTTTCCCCTAGGTATTCTCATTTCGTAACTACATGACATAAATCGTGTACAATCAACATGCTCAGAGCTTCAGTCACTGTCTTCATCGTCTTCATCATCATCGCTATCCTCCTCCTCCGCTTCCTCCAGCCACGCAATGAAGCCACCTGCCATCGTCCGGACACGTACCATGTTCTCGGTCTCGCTGCTCTTAGGGTCCTTCCACCATGCCTCGAAGCCCTCCTCTTCGATGACTTCTAGGCCGTAAAGCTCCTTGCAGAGACTGAACAGGACAGCCTCTCCCTTGTCGCGGTTGCAGAGGTCCTTTTGAAAGCTCGTAAGGAGATCAGCCTGGTCTCCGACACGCTTGTCCCTACCCAGGGCAACATCAGACAGGAACGCCGTGGCGCCTTCCTGTGCAAGTGTCTGCTTGACAGCCTTGAGCGGCTCAGCACCACCCTCGATGAGCTGCACAATGCGCTTGATGAAACCGACTGCAATGGCACGGTGCATGTGGTGGTCAGTGGCGTTATTACTGAGACGGAGCGAAGTGAATTCTACACGGGTGTTGTGGAAGTCGCCACTCTCGCTCAGAGTCTTGAACACATCTGCAACAGCGTCCTTGTGGAAGTTCTGACCGCTTGACTCGTCTCCCGAGGCCTCGTCATCAGATACTGCACTTGCGAAACTTGAGTGCCTGGAGCGTGCCTCGGCTTCATCCTCGTCAGAGCCTGCATCGGATCCGATCTGCGAATAGGAGTCTTCGGCAATGTTGAGGTGTGCAGTGCTGTAGATAAGGGTGCTGAGAAGATCACGGCAGACATCCTTTCCATCCTCCTCGCCATCTTCGTAGGCATAGCCATCGCCTCCCTCACCGACGATAGCGGTATCTGCTGGCACTCGTGCAAGAGGCTCGCCATCAACGTCTTCGCGCTTGCGCTTTGCTCTAGTTATACGCTCGCCGGCCTTGACTGTAGTGTTGCTGCCAATTCGAACAGAATATGAAATGAGTGCTCCTTCGAGAATGGCTGCAGATTTACCAATCGCAGCTTCACTGGCGATAATGGACTTCTGGATGTGCGCACCATCCTCTACAACAACATCATCCCAGATATAGGAGTCCTCGATGACAACATTCTTGCCGATCTGACACCTACGGCCAATTATTGAGTTGCTGATAACTGTGCCGTCGCCGATACTGGTTGCTCTCCCAATAACGGTCTTCTTGCCGACCTTGCAGCTGCGGGCGAGAATAACACCATCTTCCTTGATTATACCACCAGCACCACGGTTGTACTTTTGATCAATGACCCAGTTGTTGTCAGGAATCATTGGGAACGTCCATCGCCCGAGTATGTCCTTGCTGACGCAGTCATACATTTGGAGGGTGCTAGCTCTCGCAGCGTAATGCTTGTCGACGATTTCAATATGGATAGTCTTTCCATTGAGTTCGTAATCCTTTAGGATATTGTGAAGGAATTGGGATCGCGGCTTCTCCGCGTCGAACGACTCTGACCAAAGAGCCAAGACGTCTGGGGTGCAGATATCGATTCCCGTGTCAATCAAATCGCCACGCATCTCAAACTCAGGCTCCTCCAGCACCTCGACTGGCAGGTCAATGTATTTCCTCTCGTCGAATGGAGTCATCTCATCATAGTGAAGAATGCGAACTTTGCGTAGGTTGTTGACAAATACTGGAACAACCGCTTTAGGCTTCGCCCGATGTTGCCCAGGCCCGCCGTATCTTGTGACAACAGTCATGATTGCGTTCTTATCGTCGGTCCTTCTCGTTCGGTGCTTCTGGAGTATGGGGCCGATAGGTAAGTTCGAGACAACGTCCGCGTAGGTTAAGAGGAAGTCGCCGGTAATAATTCCGCGGCTATCGATCATCCTCATGGCATCTCCGTATGAAGTGGACTGAGAGTGAATGAACTCCAGACTTGAGAATGGCGAGGCGAAGGAGGTCGCAGGATTCCATTTTGAAGCCAGCAAGTATGCTTCCACTTCAAATGTATGCGCCGTGCAGTAAATAATGACCTCTCTGATCCCGTTGAAAGACAGAAATTCCAGGGTATAATCAATCATTGGCGTATTACCGATTGGAAGAAGACACTGTTTTCACATTAGCCAATGCAATATTATACCAAATGGAAGATCGCCGCGCATCTAGGTCTGAATGTCGCATGGGCAAAACTCACTCTTGGTCGCTCCAGTGAGAATGGGAGGAAGCGCGTCTCGAAAGAGTCCGTCAAAACCTGGCGCAAGTTAGTATTTGACACATTAATAGCTGATAAATATTGCATACCACTGCCTGGAACGTCTCCTCGCGCTCATCAGCCTTCTTCGCCTTCAGCGCCATCTTCTTGCCCTTGGCCGCCGGTTTTGTGTTGTTCTTCTGTTGCCCCGCCATGGCTACTGATTTCTTGTTCTCCTTGGGGCGCTGGAAATCCGATTAGCGCCGCGCCGAGAAAACGCGTCCAAGTAATAAGGGCCTATAAGCTTCCAGTCGTCATAAACTCGTGGCTGCGCCGCATATACAACGGCTTGAAATACAAAGAGAGACGTCGACCGCATATAAATTTCCCGATTGTTACTCACCCAGAATAGTTCATCGGAAAAACTCTTTCTCCGAGCCGATGAACGGCCGTCGCTTGGCAGCGGATCCATCCCCAGATATCCTACCAGGTAACCTTGTGACTGGTAGCTTGATGATCACGATGCACACAGAAGTTCACAGCAACAGATACTGCAAAACTGCCTTGAAGTTGCTTTGAGATGACATAAATAGCTGGGGGGTTGTCTGATATGTGTTATCTCTTTGAGAAGTAATGTTAGCTGGCGTCAATACCAGGTCCTTCTCTGGGCAAAATCGCGCTAGCAATAACATACCCCGCTACAATCAACAGGTCTTTCAGCAGTATGGCTTCACACATATTATCGCGGTTTCTACCGTCTAACAATATGGCACCGTCGATTTATGAGGACCTAAGGGCTGACGTCCATGGCATGTCGGACCCCGGAGATATCGAAGAGCGAGCTGCCATGGCCATAGATGAGGAGAACCTGTCGACCCGATACCAAGACTACGAGCTACATGAAGACCTCTTCGACGGTCATGAAAGCCGGATGACAACAGAAAGCACGGCATTTCTTGCACAGCAAGTAAAAAAGAAACCACACAAAAGCCCCGGCAGGGATCGGAGGTCGAAGGGTGGCGCCAAAGCCAAATGGCTGTCGCGCTCACCGAGGATGCTGGACGACGATGGCGACGATGACGTTCCAGCTTCGTTACTGATCGAAGAAGAAGAGGAGGGTGGAGGACCAAGTCATCCAGCGGCCCAACAACACTCCCCGCGACCAGCGAAGGTTGCGCCTATAACGGGCACTACAACACAAAACGCCCAAGCTCGATGGGCTGCAGTACAAGAGCAGCAACGGCTACACGATGACATAGGGACAACTCGGCTAAGAGCTGCTGTTCCCAAACCCGGGATTTTCTCTGCGAGTCGAAAAGAGAGAGCGATGTGGATGTGGATAAATGTTACAAACTTGGACCGGTTTATGGGAGAGATTTATGCATATTACCGTGGGGCTGGCATATGGCCAATATGTCTGGACAGGCTGCTCAACCTTCTGTAAGATGGTTCGCACTCCCTCTTTTGGTGGAAAATTGCTAACCTAAGTCTAGGCGGATTGTCTTCGTGGCGACGTTTACAACCTTCCTCACCCAGTGTGTAGATTACAGCAAGATAAGGCATAGCACATCCATGTCACAAATTGTTGTACCGCAGTGCACGAAAAACATGTCCGGGATGCCAAACTTTGCGATATGGCTGTTGGTATTATATCTCATATACCAATCCATATTAGATATTGTCGACATCTCCCGCTTGAGGCGGATGCAGGATTTCTATCTGTACCTGTTGGAAATCCCCGAGAGCGACATGCAGACGATATCGTGGCAGGAGATAGTGGCGAGGCTGATGAACCTGCGCGATTCAAATCCGATCCTAGCAGATAAGGTTTCGCCAGCACTGCGTCACTTTATGGGCTCCCAGTCTAAGCAACGCTTGGATGCCCATGATATTGCCAATAGGTTGATGAGAAAAGAGAACTACCTTATTGCGTTGTTCAACAAGGAGATCCTCGACTTGACTCTTCCTATCCCGTTTTTCAGGAACCGTCAGTTGTTTTCGAGGACTATTCAGTGGAATTTGAACTTCTGTATCCTCGATTTCATATTTACCCCTGAAGGCCAGATTCAGCAACTGGTGCTGAAGGATAGCAAGAGACGGCAACTAAGCGACGCCCTTCGCAGCCGGTTTCTGTTCGCGGGATTGATGAACATTATCTGTGCGCCTGTTATTGTGTTATATACACTCATTGTGTATTTCTTCCAGTATTTTAATGTAAGTATTTCGTCTGCCTTGGATTTCATTTGCTTACAAGACTACAGGAATACCACAAGAATCCGGCGGCACTTGGGTCGCGGCAATATACTCCTCTAGCTGAGTGGAAGTTTAGGGAGTTCAACGAACTGCCTCACCTATTCGACAACCGTGTAAATATGTCATACCCGTTTGCTTCGCGCTATGTGGAACAGTTCCCAAAGATCATGACGGTGCAGATAGCAAGATTTGTTGCATTCGTAGCCGGTGGAATAGTCTCCATCCTCGCCCTCGCCTCCATCATCGACCCAGAACTCTTCCTCGGTTTCGAAATCACCCCCGACCGAACAGTCCTCTTCTACCTCGGCGTAATGGGCACTCTCTGGGCCGTCGCCCACGGCGCCGTCCCCCCCGACAACCAAGTCTTCGACCCCGAATACGCCCTCCGCAACGTGATCGACTACACGCACTACATGCCGAAGCAATGGAAAGATCGCCTCCACACCGACGAAGTCAAGCGCGAGTTCGCGGAGCTGTACCAGATGAAAATCGTCATCTTCCTCGAGGAAGTCCTGAGTATCATCTTCACCCCTTTGGTGCTCTGGTTCACCCTCCCCAAATGCAGCGATCGCATCATCGACTTCTTCCGCGAGTTCACGGTTCACGTCGATGGTCTCGGATACGTCTGCTCCTTCGCCGTGTTCGACTTCAAGAAAGGCGTTGGCGGCAGCGCTGTCCCACCAGGAGCTAGGAACGCTGCCGAGGGACTGAGAGATGAATATTACTCCACCAAGCACGGCAAGATGGCTGCTTCCTACTACGGCTTCCTGGATAACTACGCTACGAACCCCAAGACTGGAATCCCAGGCCACGTGCCCCCGGGAATAAAACACCAATTCCACCCCCCTCCGTCCTTCCCAGGACTCATGTCCCCATCTCTCACAGCGGATATGCAGACTTCCCGCCTCGGCCAACAGCAACATAAGTCCCGCTCCGCGGCCGCAGGTCTAATACCCAGCCGCACCCCACGCTTCCCATCCACTCCTGCAGCCGGGCATGCATCGCCTATGCCTTCCATGCTACTGGACCCCCATCACCAGCCCTCAACCACTGGCTTCGGCGGCGGCGGGGGGGGGAAGAGCTTCCACGGCGGCCCGTCGAGTAGATGGAGGGGTCAGCAGCCGAGGAGTATTATTGAGCAGCCCCTTGAGGATGGAGAGGAGGGTGAGGCGCCGCCGGTGCCGTCGTTGCCGAATGAGAGTAGTGGGCTGGATGCGTCGGTGTGGGAGACTTCGCCGGCGAGGAGTGGGATTGGGGCTGGGGAGGTGGAGGATGGGGATGGAGGTAAGGGGGTGGGAGGAGGGGTTTTGGGGTTGTTGTATCAGTTTCAGAAGGCGCAGACGGATACGAGGCCTGGTGTTAATATTTAGGGGGAGGGGATTGTGTTTAGGGCGGGTTTTGGGGAGGTTGGGTCTACAGCGTTGTTAGGGGGGGTTGCGTTCATAGCGATTAAGAAGCGTGGGTGGTTGGTTGTGTTTATAGGGGGAGGGTGTTTGTTTTGGGAGTGCTGGTGTGGAGTAGAAGGGCATACACACGGAACATTCTCGGGGATGGATCGAGGATACCGGGTACTTCGGGGCTGAGGCGTATATTGCTATTGTGGAGCATCAAACCTACCCCCTTTATCGGCGGGGTTGAATGAATCGCCTCTTCGAAGATTGCCACATCACCTCGTCTTTTGATTGCGTGGACTCTCACCCTCGCATTATGCGATGCCGGGAGAGCGTGAGATGAGATGGGAGATTAGAGGCTGGGAGAGGGATTTGAGGGTTGAGTGAGTGACTGGAGGTGGAATATGGGAATATGAGGGTTATAGACTTCCTCCGTCTTTTAATTTTAACCAAGTTAAGTCAAGTTATATGACCTGCTGACATAAGCCACCACCAATGTTCCTCCTCGGCCCATCATTTCTCCCCACCCCTGTTGTTTCCCTCGTCCCTTTCCGCTTTGGTCGTTAGCGTGTAGTGAACCCAACCGAACCCATCTGCCGTGGCTGCAAAACAACAACCGTGGTAGTTCTACACTTGCTTGCTCTGCAATAATTTTAGCTCCGTGGAATTGGGTGAAGCCAACAAACATTACGGATAATCCGCCCTTTCGTCATTGAAGATAATATAAACAAAACGAACGCTTTTAAACCTCCGTCAAAGAGACAGCTCACTACTACATCTTCTGTCGAACTAGCTCACCCAGCGTCATCCCGACACACTTCTCATCGCTCCCCAAAAAGGGACGGAGAGAGGCCACCGACCTGTATTCCCCCCCCCCCCCCCCGGGGAGACCGTCAAATCAGGAACACTGGCGCTGCAACCAGAGGCTTACGGCGGTCCAGCGACCGCTGTAGGTATGGCTCAGAGCGCGAGCGATGTTCCGCTCGAGGAATATGAGTGAGTCGCCCTGTCCCCCCGTCCCCCCGTCGCCCCCAGCTGTCGGCAATTGGCTTACATGTGTGTTTGTTTAGTTATGAGGGATTACCTCCGGTATGAATCGATGTATACAATTGGAGAGGAGGATGGAGGGCTAATGCGATGCAGAATTTCAGCTTGTTGCAGAATATGACGGCTGGTGCGGTGGCGGGGATTGCGGTATGTTTTTTACCCTTCTGTGTCGACGGTTGTTTTTTGGGAGGCGCAGAAGACTGATTACAGACACAGGAACACACAGTCATGTACCCCATCGACTCGATCAAGGTATGTTGTATTCCGCCGCGCACCGAGATTTCCTCCATCTGTCCCCCGAGGGCCTTGGCTAACTGGCACCAAAACAGACGCGCACACAGATCCTCGGCACCATGCAGCAGCCACGCACGGTGTATAACATGAAATGGGCTATCGGGCTATGGAGAGGAATGTCCAGTGTTGTGGTAGGAGCAGGTCAGTTCTTATCCTTAATCTTGTCTGGCCGTGACGGTTTCTGACGTGTATGCGATTTAGGTCCCGCACATGCGATTTACTTCGCGACTTATGAGGCTGTTAAGCATCTTATGGGCGGTAACCAGGCGGGACTCCACCACCCCCTCGCAGCTGCTACCAGCGGCGCCTGTGCCACCATCGCCAGCGACGCGCTCATGAACCCCTTCGATGGTAACCCTCACCTCCCCCAAAACCGCCCTCCTCCCTACCCACGCACCCGCCTTTCTAACACACCCCCCCAGTTATCAAACAACGCATGCAAATCCACGGCTCCAAGAAGCTCTTCCGCACCATGCCTGACTGCGCGCGCTACGTCTTCCGCGCCGAAGGCCTGCGCGCCTTCTACGTCTCCTACCCCACCACGCTCTCCATGACCGTCCCCTTCACGGCCCTCCAATTCCTGGCCTACGAATCGATATCCACCTCCATGAACCCGACCAAGGCCTACGACCCCGTCACGCACTGCGCTGCGGGTGCGGTGGCGGGAGGGTTTGCGGCGGCGCTGACGACGCCAATGGATGTGGTCAAGACGATGTTGCAGACGAGGGGGTCGGCGAGCGATGCGGCGCTGAGGAATGTTAATGGGTTTGTGGAGGGGTGTAAGTTGTTGCATCAGAGGGAGGGGTATAGGGGTTTTTTCAAGGGGGTGAAGCCCAGGGTTATTACGACGATGCCGAGTACGGCTATTTGTTGGTCGGGGTATGAGGCTTGCAAGTATGTTTTTCCTCTCTACTTTTTGTTTCTCCGCCTTTATCTTTATTGATACCGGTTTACTAACGTCCACAGGGCTTACTTCATCCGCCGCAACAACTCAATCCTATAAACCAACCCATCCATCCACCCTCATCTCATTCGTCCGCTCTCGCGCATACATCGTTATCTGACCACCACCACCAGCATTCGCCAAGCGACATCGGAAGTCCCCCAAACCCCGACCGAACTACGTCTTTTCCCATGCATGCGTGTGTAACGGATCACCCAACCACGTACCCCTGCCACCCCCGGTCTTGGCGACGCGACACATTCATCAGATAACGACCCGGCGGCTTCGGAGATAGATGGATCCACGGAGTCGTTGCGGAGATACATACGGCTTTTTGCGACCACCGGTGATTGTCGATACGAAAAAAAAACTGTACATTCTGTCATATTTCTACTTTAATTATTTCCGTTTTATGGAGCGCGCGTACGCACACGCGCTCGCGCTAGGTTCTTGTCTCTTTTTTCGGCCAGGTCGACTGGGCGGCTGGCCTACACTTTATGCGTGGTTCTGCATGTATAGACAGCCTTCCTTGGGACGGCGAGATGCGAAGGGGCTATTTGCTTTTTTGGCTCAAAAGAAGAGGAGGGGGAGGGCGTTTTTTTCGAATTTTCAGGGACGACGACGCTAGATTGGACTGTGTGTAGTGTGTATAAATATGATAGGCTATCGGATTCGGATTCATAGCGTGGGGGGAGGGGAAAGGCTGATTCTTATCTATTGATGATTGTGCGGGTGATGTGTGATGGGATGTGAGAAGTTGATGTAGTGATCTCTGCTTGTTCTATCTATGCTTCGTATCTATACTCCCCCTCTCCGCCTATAGCTCATCCTTCACCCCCTTCGTTGCCTCCGCCTCCATAGTCCTACTCTTCGTATTCTTCACCACCTCCTCCACCAGGGTCCTACTCTTCTCATTCCTCCCCCCCAACTCCTCCCCCAACTCCTCCCCCACCTTCCCCTCCCTCGCAGCCTTAAACACCCCCGCAATCTCATCATCATAAACCCCCCACTCCGGCACCTGCCTCCTCGCCCTATCCAACTTCGGCTCCTTCGTCATCGGATTATTACAAAGATCAATCGTCTTTGCCCCCCCGAGACTCTCATCACTACACCACGTCTCGCACCACAACCACTCCTGCGGCAGACTGTATATCGGGAGGTGCGCTTGCATATGATTCGGCAGATCTTGGTCCAGGTTCGCTAGACTCGCGGGGTCGGCACTGAGTTGGTGGTACTGCTGCCGTAATCGGTCGCCGGCGGCGATCTCGCGGAAGCGGCGCAGGTCGACGACGTAGAGGGCTGAGATGTGGTAGGGGAGACCGCGGAGGAAGGATTTCCAGTACCCCTGTTTCCAGAATCTGAAGCCTTCCATCTCGGCGCGGGAGTCGCACATGGGGGTGAACCCGTACGGTGCGCCTTGGAGGTCGATATCAACGAGCTCCCGCATATCGGTACGCACGATCTGGTCTGCGTCGACGAAGATCACCTTATCAAGTGATAAGGGGAACAGGACGTCAAGAAATAGAATCTTGTAACCCCAGATCTCGCGCTGTTTCTCGGACTGGGAGCGCAGCCAGTGGGGCCACTTGTAAGTCACCATCTCGTAGTCGAAGTTGTAGGCCGCGGCCAGGGAGGGGATGGATTGCTTGAAGGAGGGGGAGAGGAATTGTTCGATGAACCAGAATTTCACGGTGTGGTTGGTGTGCTTCATCACGCTGACCATCATGATGTTGAGCATGCGCTCGTAGAGGTGCCCGCTGGCGACGGAGAAGATGTTGATTTCTGCTTGCGGCGTGGTTTGCACGGCGGTGGACTTCTTGCCGAGGCCGAGGATGTTTTGGGCGAGTTTGCGGCCCTTGCTGAGTATGTCGTCTTTGAGGTCTGTTGTGGGCTCGAGGACGTCTTCGGTTTCCTGGCCGGGGTTGCGGGATAATTGCGGGAAGAGGGTGAGGCCTTGGAAGCTGATGAGGGAGATTTCAGTTGTTTCGTCGGGTTTCGTGGCATCGCGTAATGATGCTCCGAGCGTGTCGATGCTGTAAATCTTGGAACTGGGACCCTCTTGTAGGTTTATCTTATAGAAGCCTGGGTTCGCCTTGAATTGGAAGTATCCAAGGTTGGCCATGATGATTGTATCAGCAAAATGGGCATCAGCTGCAGTTCCCAAGAGAAGCTGGGCCCCTCTTGGAGCCTGTCCGGTCTCCTTATCCGACGAGTGCCCTTCGATTAAGATATGCTGTAGCTCATAGACAGCATTGACATCGCCGTTAACGGAACTCAACTTAATGTTATCCAAATCGGTAACTGATTGCTTCGGTGCTACAAGCCATGGAGCTGGCACATCCATGCCTACCGTTAACAGAGCTTCCTGAGGTACGCTCGCAAACTGTGCCTTGATGTCCTTTAAACTACCATCGGCGTTAAACAGCGGCTTTGACTCCAGGACATAACGGTAAAAGCGCTTGATTGGGATCTCCATAAGTATATCCTTGGGGTTGAGGAACAGTTTCAAATACACTCCATTCAGCTCTGACAGGACTTTCAAGATAGGGATCCAGCGCTGTGATTCCTGGCTCGCTGGGTCCAGGGCGACTTGGATATGAATGGAAGCAGTAGACTCGTCGCCGATTTCAATAGCTGTATACTCGGATTTCCACGCCTTGAAGGAATCGATTCTCAAAGTCGATGCTTGCTCGAAAATTCCTTCTGGGACATTGGAAATGAATGACAATGTCACAAGTGATGTGAGCTTAGAGCTCGCCAGCGGGTCGCTGATTGCTTCGGAGATTCCGAGAGCTTTAACAGCCGCCAAAACAGGTCTGATTCGTTTGGTTCGCTCAAAGCCGAGGAGCTGCTCTAGTTCACTGACCGCCATCTCGATCTCACTCAGAATTGGGCCGACCAATCGTCCATTCAACAAAAGCCCCTGTTGGCCAGGCCTTAGTCCCAACGACCCCAAAAAGCCTTCTATCGCGGACCATTTTTCTGACATCTGGGTTGTAATCTGCCGTTCTTCATCGCCAGCGGTTATGGACACAGTTTCGACAAGTCTATCCAAATCACCGTCAGATTTCAGTGGTTGGAACAATCTTGCCGTCATATACTCGTATACGCTCAATATTCCTGCTGGAGTCTCTGAACTGGGGACAATAACGAGCTCAACTGATGGGTTCCTCTTGGTAAACTCAGCAGCCGCTGTTAAAAGATGTTTACCTTGCGTGCTCTTCACGTCAGCTATCAGAATCATTTGTGCCCAGTCATCCTGCACTGCAGATGGGTCGTTTTTCACAACAGGAAGCCCGTCCAAAGCCTCGGCATGGTCAGAGTAAATGGCGTTGACGTCAAACAGTTGAAGATCTTTGTCGTTCTCTGGCATGAGGAAGGGGTTTCGGCCAGAAGCGGCATCGTGCAGGTACAGCATAGGAGGCCAGTGATCATCAGTTACGGTATTTTCGAAAACTGCGCGCTGCATAAGTCGGAGATCCATCTGAACACGCTGGCTCATCCCTTGCATCCAGTTCTCATCGCGCGGCACAGCAGCTCCATTCACAAACACCGAAGGTACTTTTTCATTTGCTCCAAGTCTGAAGTTCCATTGTTTCGAATGTGCGATTGACCCGTTGGCCTCGTTTGCGTCTAGAACCTCTTCCAGTGATTTGGCTACTTTGTAGCCCAGGAGTTTACGCTCCTCGATTGCAGCTTCAAAATTGGCATTTCTCGACGATTTGGTTCCCTTCGAGGCAAAATATCCGTTAAGGTAGGCCACCATAGTTGACAAGCCATAACTGTCTAGTAGGTAATAAACAATCATGGCTTGTTCGAGCGCAGCGTTGGAATTTGTGAGCGGCACCAGACCGAATCGTAACGGCAATGCCCTTTTAACAAATCCCGATAACTGCGTGACGACGAGTTCTACATCCTCAATATTTGACAAATCGACGGGGAAAACTAGATTGAACAGGTCTTTCCGTACCTGAGGCAACTGCCCCGGATATCCTCCTTGTAAAAGCTGCAAAGCCATCAGTGAACGCTATAGTTACTGGTTGGAATTCTCACATACCGTTCTAACAGTTGCCGGCCAACCGTCATAGCGCTTGTCCTTTTCAATGTTGTTTAGCCATATGATAACATCTCCGTCACCATCGTCTCTCCAATCAAATCTCGCGGGTTCATCGTCAGCCTTCGTGAATGCGATATCCTTGTGAGACAGGAGGCTGATCGTTTGCGACCCAGTCAACCCGAGCTGAGAAAACTTATTCAGGAGCTTCCTTTCCTTCCGCAGTATGTCAAGCATGCTGAAGGAATCCATTTGCCTCGTCGGTACCTGCAAACCATTGATCCAAACAACATTCGCACCGGCTGGCACTAGCTGACCGCGGTTATAAAGATGTTCCTCAGCAAAATCAGATGATACGTTATGGGCAGCAATGGCTGATGAATATCTCGGGAAGTCTTGAGAAAGTCGAGTCAACACCTCGAACGGGTTTTCACTTTGCATAATAAAACTCGATGCTTTTAGCCCAAGAGATGCCAGTTCAGATGCTGAAAGAGGCTTCAAGTCCGCAAGCTCTTCATCTTCAAGAACAACTTCCATCTTTATCGACTCTTCTTGCACTTGAGCTTCAGCTTCTCTATCATCAATGACTATGTAGTCTGTGCGCTTTAGAGCCAATTCGACACCATATCCACCGATGACAAGAGGTTTGGATTCCTTAGCATTTGGCTTCTTGTGGCGAATGCGGTATGATATCTCTTGATTCTGTGCTTTTTGGATTAATTTTTTGTGGAATTGGTTAAACTCCGAAGACGTAATGTCAGCGTAAAGAATGGACGGTGGCGCAGACAGATTCCCAGTGATTCTATCAAATTGCAGTTGTTCAGTTCCTCTGATTTATGTTAGTGATAATTGCATAAGACCTCAAAATGATAAATGTCTCACCTTCGACCATTGTAGCCATGTGCCCCGTCTAGTGCGGGAGAGCAATGCTTCTTGCCCCCAAAGAGAACCCATACGGGGCATGAGGAATCGTCCCCTGACGGCTCAATAGCTGTGTCATAAAATTGGTACTGGGCTTCAATTCTTGGGGCAGAAGTCCGCAGGGAAAGCGCAAGACTATATGAGGCGAGTCCCTCTGAATCGAGATGTCCATCATCTCGGAGCACCTTCACGAAGGAGTTGTACTGTTCAAGGTCTGTTCTCGCATCTTTAAAGTATCCTTCTGCGATTCGGTCTAGTAATGGGAAGTATGAGGTTGAATTTTCGTCTCCGGCAGTTTCACTGTGGCAATTTAGTAATGGTTATTGACCAATACTGGCATTGATAGACTCACAGCAACTCGAGAAGATATGGCGCAGAGGTGAATGAAGTTGCCAACGCAACGTTTATAGTCGGGCTCGCCGAGACTTTAATAGACTGCAGACAAGAAAACGCGAGAGCGTTGCCAGTCAGGCTCCATATGTTCCCAAACTGAACCATTTTGGTCTAATTTAGGTTCCTCGCAGTCCAGGCCAAGGAAAGATGAAGACGGATTGGGTTCCAAGAAAGCTTCCATATAACGGGTTTTCCTTCAAGAAAGAGATGACACAGTAAACATTCCACAGCGATACATAGCCTACAGCGTGGACATTCGAAAGCTACAAAATATACGGCATAACCGCCTCCAGAGTACAAATAGATAACTAACAAGGTTGACGAGGCTGATACAAAATTCTGGACACGGTTGAGAGCTATCAAAAGCGGTTAGCGTGCATGTGTTTGGGCCTGAGGTTTCCACGGGAAAGCCACCTTGTTGCGCTTTGGGGGGACCACACAATAATCTCCAGATACTGTAGCTGCACTCGCACATTCAGTAGCAACTTTCTTTTTCTCCACCCTTCGATCTTATATTTATTTCTCCAATCTGGGCAGAAAAGGAGGCTCAGAAACGGCTTGTGTTTGCCGCCCCGACCCCCCCCCCCTTTGATGCTCGAAGCTTGAGCTTCACCCATCCCGCCTTTTGACCATGGTGGCCTCCCCAAATATGCTCACCAAGGTTCGCACGCACAGAATAATGCATTGAGCATTTGCGTTTATGTATTCATGAGCAAGCTAACATATGCTTTGTACAGTTCGAATCAAAGTCGTCCAGGGCGAAGGGCATTGCATTCCATCCCAAACGGTTGGTTGCCTTCATAGCCAGTCGCAAACTATACTGATGCATTGCAGGCCATGGATTCTTGTTTCTTTGCACTCTTCGACAATTCAGCTATGGGATTATCGTATGGGCACATTAATAGACCGCTTCGAAGAACATGACGGGCCAGTTCGTGGCATCGACTTCCACCCGACCCAACCCCTCTTCGTCTCAGGTGGGGACGACTATAAAATCAAAGTCTGGTCGTTACAAACAAGGCGCTGCCTATTCACCCTCAATGGACACTTGGATTATGTTCGCACAGTCTTCTTCCATCATGAGTTGCCCTGGATTATCTCGGCGTCTGATGATCAGACAATTCGTATCTGGAATTGGCAAAACAGGTCGTTAAGTAAGTACACCGTATTCTGTCAATGAATACCAACTGACGTCGGCCTCTAGTATGCACAATGACTGGCCATAACCATTACGCAATGTGCGCTCAGTTCCATCCCAAGGATGACCTCGTTGTTTCGGCCTCCCTCGATCAGTCAGTCCGAGTGTGGGATATTTCGGGTCTCCGCAAGAAGCACTCTGCCCCAATATCGAATGTATACGAAGACCAGATGGCCCGCCAAAATGCCAACCAGGCAGATATGTTCGGAAACACGGATGCTGTCGTCAAATTTGTGCTTGAGGGGCACGATAGGGGTGTCAACTGGGTCGCCTTCCATCCTACGCTGCCACTGATTGTTTCGGCTGGTGACGATAGACTGGTCAAGCTGTGGCGCATGAGCGAGACCAAGGCTTGGGAGGTCGACACATGCCGCGGCCATTTCCAGAACGCGTCTGGCTGCCTCTTCCACCCGCACCAAGACCTCATCCTTTCTGTTGGCGAAGATAAAACGATTAGAGTATGGGATTTGAACAAAAGGACGTCTGTGCAGTCGTTCAGGCGCGAAAATGATAGATTTTGGGTTATTGCTGCGCATCCGGAGATAAACCTGTTTGCGGCTGGCCACGACAATGGAGTTATGGTTTTCAAGCTGGAGCGCGAGCGCCCTGCCTCTGCAGTCTATCAAAACAACCTTTTCTTCATTACCAAGGAAAAGCAGGTCCGTTCTTACGACCTTACGAAAAATATCGAGAGCCCGAATTTGGAGACAATCAAGAAGCTTGGGAGCGCTTGGATTCCCCCTCGTACATTATCTTACAACCCAGCTGAGCGATCTGTCCTTGTGGCATCCCCTGCTGAGGGTGGAACCTATGAACTGATTGTTCTTCCAAGGGATGGTGGTATCCCTGACGAGAAGCTCAAGAAGCGTGGCCCTGGTAACTCTGCCGTCTTTGTGGCTCGTAACCGTTTTGCCGTTTTCAACCAGGCGGCACAGCAGATCGATATCAAGGACCTTTCCAACTCTACAACTAAGACGATCAAGCCTCCGGCGGGTACTTCTGATATTGTTTTCGGCGGAACTGGCAACCTGCTACTGATTACGCCAACGGCTGTGCACTTATACGACATTCAACAGAAGAAGAATGTGGCGGAGCTGGCAATTAGCGGAGTCAAATATGTTGTCTGGTCCAACGATGGAGCGTATGCTGCTCTGTTGAGCAAGCACAACGTTACTATTGTTACGAAGACATTGGAACAAGTCAGCACACTCCACGAGACAATCAGGATTAAGAGCGCCACATGGGACGATGCCGGCGTGCTGCTATATTCTACTCTTAACCACATCAAGTATACCCTGTTGAATGGCGACAACGGCATTGTGAGGACTTTGGATCAAACAGTGTATCTTGTTCGCGTCAAGGCACGCACCGTATACTGCTTAGATAGAAATGGAAGGCCCAAGGTTCTCAACATCGATCCCACCGAATACAGATTCAAGCTGGCCTTGGTTAAGCGCAACTATGAGGAGATGTTGCAAATTATCAAGAACTCTAGTCTTGTTGGTCAAAGCATCATCTCGTATCTGCAAAAGAAGGGCTACCCGGAAATTGCACTTCAGTTCGTTCAAGATCCCCAGACACGTTTCGAGCTGGCTATCGAATGTGGCGATCTTGATGTTGCTGTTGAGATGGCAAAGCAGCTTGATAAGCCTAACCTTTGGACACGCCTAGGCACCGAAGCTCTTGCCCATGGAAACCATCAAATTGTCGAGATGACATATCAGAAGCTTCGCCAGTTCGATAAGCTTTCGTTCCTCTACCTTGCTACAGGTGACGACGCGAAGCTAGCACGTATGGCAAAGATTGCAGAGCACCGTGGTGACTTCACCGCCCGCTTCCAGAACGCTTTGTACCTTGGTGATGTCAACGACAGGATCCAAATCTTCAAGGAGATTGACTTATGTAAGATATCAGTATACCCCTCATTGGACCTAAGCTAACCATACCAGACCCGCTGGCATACATGACCGCTAAGGCTCATGACCTGACCGAAGAATGTGAGAGCATCCTCGAGGCAACTGGATTGACCGAAGACCAAATCACGCTCCCCGCAATTGGCGTCCCGCTCTCTACCCCCAGACCGGTGGTGTCGACATACAAGGCCAACTGGCCAACCAAGGCCACTTCGCAATCATTCTTCGAGAAGGCGCTTCTGGGACAGGTTGAGGGTCTCTCATTAGAAGATGAGCCTGCCGCTACAACGAACGGATTCGGATTTGAAGATGGCCAAGATGAAGGTGTTGCGAAAGAGAACGGCAACCTGATCGACGCTGATGATGAAGACGACGCTGCTGGCTGGGATATGGGCGATGACATCGTTCCAGAGGCCGAGAGTGATTTCGTCAACATCGAAAGCGCAGATATCGGCGTTGCTAGCAGCGAAGCCGAGTTATGGGCTCGGAACTCTCCGCTTGCTGCGGACCACGTGGCTGGCGGTTCGTTCGAGAGTGCTATGCAGCTCCTCAACAGACAAGTTGGTGCGGTGAACTTCGCCCCTCTAAAGCCCCGCTTCATGTCGATCTTTGAAGCTTCGAGAACATACGTCCCCGCATTTCCAGGCCAGCCACCGCTTGTCAACTACGTCAGGAGGACTCTGGATGAGACAAACCCTCAGAGCGTTCTGCCGTTCATTCCAGATGACCTGGAGTCTATCGCGGCTAATTTCCTGCAAAAGGGATACGATTCTGTCCGCACCAACAAGCTCGAGGATGGAGCAGTTATCTTCAAGCAGATGCTTCACGCGCTGCTTGTCAACGTTGTGCCTACTCCATCTGAGGTGAACGAGGCCAAGAAGCTCATCACTTCGGCGTCCGAGTACAGCGTTGCGATTGCTATCGAGCTGAGCCGCCGCAACCTCGGCACCAACGACAAGGTGGCCAAGTCGCCAGAGAAGTTAAAGAAGAGCCTCGAGCTCTCCGCATACTTCACCATCCCCAAGCTAGAAGTTCCCCACAGACAGCTTGCCCTGATGAGCGCGATGAAGCTGGCCTACACCAACAAGAACTTGAGTTCCGCATTAAGCTTTGCCAACCGTATACTAGCCAACGGCGGTGGAGCAAAGGTCTTGGAACAGGTAAGGCTACCCCCCGCCGCTACCCTGCAATCCCCCAATAATACCTAATACTAACTATTTCTCTCTTCAACAGGCCAAGAAGATCAAAGCCTCATGCGAGCGCAGCCCCAACGACGCGCATGAAATCGAATTCGACCAGTTCGCCGAGTTTGACATCTGTGCCGCCTCCCACACGCCCATCTACAGCGGCAGCGCCTTCGAGACCTGCGCCTTCGACGGCAGCAAGTACCAGTCCAAGTACAAGGGCACGGTGTGCGCAGTGTGCGAGGTGTGCGAGGTGGGGAAGAGTGGGAGCGGGCTGAAGCTTATCGCGTAGATGTGTTGTTGTTTGTGTGGTGACTTCCCCAGCGCGTAAATAGGCAAGCCCGGAACGGAGAGGAGGGGAGAGGTGGATGAGAGAGGACTCGGAGTTCGGGTAAAAGTAGATAGCTGAAACTTTTGTGGAGGTACTACTAGCATTAGTTGTTGTTTTTGAGATTTTAATGTTTGATGAAATATCTAGAGCTGGTTCTGTTCTGTCCGGGGGTGTGATTTAAGGCGCTGCTGATGCGAGATGGCTCTCATCAGCAGCATTTATTGCCCGGCTTCTTCTACAACGGTCACGATTACAGTTATAGTCGTCTCTAACGTAACTATAGTCGTCAACAAAATCATCGCAGACGTCAGGTCCCCTCAAACGGTCCCTCCCGCACAGCAAGTAAGTTACGTGTCCGCCGTCCCTGAAGACGAGAGCGTACCTGTCGCCAACCCACCACCAAAGGGCAGCGACAGGGATGCCACAGCCCCCCCTCCAAACCGCCATGTCGTCACAATCAACTCCGCTCCTCACCTCATCGCAATACCGCTCGCTCGCTCATTACCAAATTCGAAATTCATCAGACCCAGATCCGTTCGTTTTACTATTACACCATCACACTGTCCCAACGAAACTATAAATCGAATCAATCGCGTGGACGCACGACTCGAATTCGCCCCGTCAGTCAGGAGACGAAGGCGCGTAGGCCGGCCCAACCGACGTGGCACGCTTCGCGCCAGGAACGGGGACGGATAGGGGACGGATAGCGCGACACGAACGGGGAAGGGCGAGAGGACGTGTCGCTGTGGGTGTTGCTCCACGACTGCGCTGCGGTGAGTGCTGGTGTACAGTCAGTCGGTGCTGTACTGTGCTGTAGCTGCCTGAGTGAAGGAAGAGGGCCTGGCGGAGGGGTTTATAACGCGCGTGGTACCCTGGTGTCTTGGGAGGAAAATTAACAACGACACGAATTGAATCGACAGATGAACAGAGCGCATCTCGCCATCGAGAGGAGAACTCATTTATCACAACTACGAAGCCTATATATGAGAAGAAAGGAATAAGGAAACCAAAGCAGAGAAGCAGGCGCAATGGCAAGCACCACCATCTCCGACATCACCGCAGTGCGCCTCGTGCGCCGCAAGTACCGCTGGCCCGCCGCGCAGCTCAATTTCTGGCTCTTCATCGTGCTCGTCTCCTCCAGCAGCGTGCTGGGGATCTTTGCGAGTTTCAGCTCTGTGCAGTCGCAGCTTGGTGTTGGGACACCTTGGTACGTTGTTGCCTTTCTCACTTCATCATTATTTGCTCCTGGGCAACCTTGACCCTTTAGACTAGACTGAATTGCGCTAACACACAATCTAGGTACTTCACCTACAACATCACCATCGGCGCCCTCGGCCTCTCCTTCTTCATCCTCTTATTGTATCTCATCAACGCGCGCGCCCTCCTCCCTGGCATCGTAATCCTCGGCTCCTTCATCCTCTTCGTGCTCTGGATCGTCGGGCTGATCGTCATAAGCCTCGAACTCTGGGGCCCCCAAGGCGATGTGAACGGCAACTGCGCATTGTATGTCGGAGGGCAGGAGAGTAGGGGACAGGGACAGGAGACGCTGGCGTGGTTGATGCAGGATACGATTTGTCAGTGTTGGAAGGCGGGGTGGGCGTTCTTGTTGGTGGGGACGGCGTTTTGGTTTTGGATGATGGTTATGAGTTATCAGGTTTATAAGGATGATTAGGGTGTGGATGGGAGAGGTGGGGTTGAGAGGGGGGGGTGTTGTGGAGGATGACGGTTGAAAAGGGACGAGGGAGGCGGATGGACGGGTCATTTCATGCATTTCGAAGCGCGGGGAATATGGAGCTGGGATGGAGGGTGTATATCGGAACGACTTGGGTCTGGCTGTGTGGGTGGGGAAAGGCGCATGGGTTGCTAGGTGTTGGGTTGGGATATGATATCTGTACGGGTTAGGAAAGGAGGGATATAGAAAACTCTCCCGGCTGGGTATTGATATAGTTTAAACCCAAGGCATCTGGGTATGGCAGGTGGGCTTTTGTCAAACGGTACTTGATTAATTTTCTCACATATCCGTAGACGAACGAAATTAAAAATGATTTATCATTGCCTCGCATGTTGAAGGAGTGAGAGTAGCATAATTGTGAGGAGCAGCTAGAGTAGTGATAGCAGGCCCCCTTTGGTAGCGCTTGCGGCCAACAAATCCCCATTTCCCGGCACCGGTGCTGTGGCCCAATAAACCGCATCTCTAACTCCCATAACTTACCTGAGAGTCTCACTACCCCAAGGCTGGCCGGTCTGACGATAGCAACTTCGCGAATCCACCCAGTCCAGCTCAGGTCGTTGTCGGTCACTAGCTTGACTTGAACTACTATCATCAGAAACGCCTCAACCACCCCGCTCGCATTCCTCAGGTTGGTGAACCCCGCCCAGCCCGAATAATTCATAGCATTGCCCAACGAAAGAAAATCCGTGTCAAAAACCGTTAAATAGTCCGATCCTGTATGATGGAGCGCGTACCTCATGCCGCTTTGGACCAAAGGTCCCATTCCCGTATGCACACTTGGCGCTCATTTGGTAGGCGATCCCTTGCTTATCGAATATCAGCCATGGTCAACGTGAATGAACATTTTAATTTTTACCTCGATCCACACATGTCCATGGCGCTTGTAGGCTTCATCCTCGGGAACAATCTTGCCATTAACAAAAAACGTTCTCGCAGTTCCATCTATCAACCCCCATCCTCGTACGACTTTATCACGGTGGCGATATTTGCTTGTTGCCCAGCTAGCTGATACGAATCATTTTTCTCATCGAGGTATTGGCGCAGCTGCTTGATGCGATTCTCAGGCACAAATGGGTCTGGAAACGGAACGGCGGGCGCGAACTTGATATTCGGTGGGATAGGCTCCATTCTTGATAAGGTGGGCTTGACGTGAATGTGGCAATGAAGTTGAAATTTGGAAGTTGTCTCGGCGGGCGGGTGGGCGGGCGTGATGTGCACATGGCTGGAGTTGCACTAACTTATCCCGAAATGGAGACTACCATTACAGAATCAACCTTCCCCGATGGCTTCATGCACATCTCAAAATTTATTATAACTGCAAAAGTGATTGTCATAGCTAACATCACATCAAAACCAAAACCCAAGACCCATGGATCATCCTCCCATAACACGCATATCCATATCCATATCCATTTCCATCCCTACCAGGACATCCCTCCTCCCATCAGTCCTCTAGTTGGAGTACTTAGGATCAACCTTGTTTCCCGTCGCCTTCTCGTACGCGCCACGGATGCCATCGGTGATCTTCTCGCTCTGGTCAGCGGAGAAGGTGTGGCCGGTCTGCTTGGAGATGGCAGCGAAAGCTATTATATTTGTTAGTTCTCTGCATCTCCTTCAACTCATAGTATCGCTGGGAAGGGAACGGGGGAATGACATACCCTTGTCTCCGTAATCCTGTTGTTGTCTAGCAGCATCTCCGGCAGCGGCACCTCCAGCAGCGGGGGCAGAACCACCAGCAGCGGCGTTTTTGTTGCCCTGGAGCTCAGTGGCGGCCTTCTTGAGGAAATCCATTAGTGGCGTTGGGGGGGTTGTGTTGAGGGGTTTTCGGTGTTGTGAGAGTGTAATGAATGAATACGTTGCAACAGGAGAGAGAGAGAAGAGAAGGAAGGGTATGGAGAGGGAGGGGGGGAGGTTATATACACACAAGCTTGTGACTAGGGGACTAGAGGACTAGAGATGGATGGAGGGGCACGGCGTCAACTCGGTAAGTTAACATGATACCTAACCTAGGTACCTAGCTAGGTTAGGTATCACAACGAGTTTATATGGGGAACCTAGGTAGGTTCCCCATATAAACTCGTTGGGCCCTGATTGATTGCGTCACGCCGTCAAATTGCGACCATAAGTACCTACACATAGTAATTTATATGTAAAGATACCTAAATAAGCTATTCTACGAAATTATCACTTCCTTGCTCCCACTTGCTCCCACTTGCTCCCACTTGCTCCCACTTGCTCCCACTTGCTCCCACTTGCTCCCACTTGCTCCCACTTGCTCCCACTTGCTCCCACGCTCGCTCTGGGCCCGGTTTAAGGCCTCGCGGGCTACTAAAGCCCTCCGGAACCCGGTTTTTCTAGTGCTGTAGCCCCTCTTCTACCTCCTGGAAAGTTGAGCGTTTTGGGTGGAAACCAGGATTAGTAGGGTAATCGTCGGTTTTCGCCGCTCCCTAGCGGTCGGGGAAAGCAAGATGCACCGGCAAGCAAGATGCACCCTTGTAGATTAGCGAACCGCCTAATTTGTACTGTACCTATATCCTGAACTATGCTCTTACCTTTGTGAATGTATCAAAATGCCCAACGAAACTTCCCTCGAATATAAGGAGGCTGTAGCTAAGGCTATAGCCTTTTAAACAATACAATCCTGACGAGACAGCTGCTGTTGCAGCTCGAATATACAGCGTTAACGAGAACACTGTCAAATCCACCTTGCGACGTACAAACAACCACGACAATAAGCCTTTAAAGTCTCATGGAGGCCACAATAAGATCCTTTCCGAAGCCCAGAGCTGTGCGAAACACAAGTACATCGACGATATGTACCATAGTGGCTTCAGAGCCACTCGGCCGATGGTGTTTGCCGCAATTAAGCTGCTTTTGGCTGCTCAGGGACGGCCACCACCATCTGAACGATGGTTCCGAGGATGGGTTACTAACAACAAGGACATCTTCAAGTCGATGAAGACAAAGCCTCTTGAACGAAGCCGAGTATCGGCACAGATGTCGACGACGTTAAGAACTGGTTTGAGGGGTACAAGAGGTTTATTGGAGATTATAATATAAGGAGGGAGGACATTTGGAACTTCGACGAAGCAGGATTTCAAATAGGAGTGACTTGTGGAGAGGAGATTTTAGTTCCTATATATGTAAAGGAAGTATGTATCTCATCAATTAGTATAGCCATTATATACCACTGCCTCAAATAATCGACGATCTGTGACACTTGTTGAAACTGTCTCTGCGAACGGAAAGACAATTCCACCTGTTTGTAATAATACAAGGAGTAATTAATGCATATGACGAATTGGTATCCAACATTAGAAGACGATGTAAAAGTATTTACTTCAGATACAGGATATATCAACTCTTAAGCTTGCATTACAGTATCTCGACCAGTTGGTTAAACATACAGACTCAGGGCCTAACAAGCCTCCAAAGTGTCTATTAATGGACCAACACGGTAGTCATATGGACCCTGCCTTCATTATTAAGGCAACGGACAATAACATCTACCCATTCCCGTTTCCTGGACACCTTACCCATATACTACAGCCTCTTGATGTTGGTGTTTTCCAGCCTTATAAGCACTGGCATCGAAAGGCTGTCCAACATGCGAATCGAAGCCTCGATATCGAATACACAATACCCTCTTTCCTCCGAGACCTTGCTAGGATTCGAGAGCTTACCTTTAAGCCAGGAACAATCATGGGGTCGTTTAGGAAATCAGGGATGTGGCCAATCAACTGCGATATAGCCCTTGAGAAGATGAAAAAGTATCAACCTCTAGAGGTTGATACTGTCCCTGATTGTAACGCTGACTTCTAAACGATAGAAGACACAGAGGTTCTCTTGCGTAAAGGTTTACTTATCAGAGGAGGCAGGGGATCAGACACAAAGGCTTCAAGTAACACGTTACTAGTATATAACAAATACTGTATTGAGTTGAGCACGAAGCTCCTATCTAAGGAAATACTATCTACTTATATAGTGGCGTCGTGCCTAGTGGACTCTTGGGAACTCACTCGAGTCCTCGGAGTCCTGGACTCTTAGGACTCTTCTCATCATCCTGCGAGTCCATCACGTGCCTAGTGGACTCCTGGGAACTCACTCGAGTCCTCGGAGTCCTGGACTCTTAGGACTCTTCTCATCATCCTGCGAGTCCGTCACGTGATACTTTCGGAACTACTATTCCCCGCTGCCCCTCCAGGTACCAGGGCCGGTCTCATGCGACCTCCCTCCTTCCTGTCCTGTAGTTGGCCAGCCTTCTTGTTCCGTCGTAACACTGATGTCCTACCTCCACAGACGCCAAGGCAATTCAAACATGCTGAATACGGAATGGAGGAGTGGACAAGGAAGTTAACAACAAGAACGATATATGGAGTAGCCCTACAACAAAGGAGAAATTTAACTCCTTTGCGAGGTACGTCAACTCTCCTCGCTGGAGGTGAGCTGGTTACTCTCCAGAATCAACACCTTGAGACGAGGATCAGGAACTCGAACAAAGCAAGAACTACGAAGCCGACAGACACTCCAAAAAGGAGGCGCTCTCACAGGAAAGGAAGCTCGAGAGAAGGTTAGGAAAAGAGACGTAGAGAAGAAGGAAGGTGAGAAAAGGAGGAGGAAGATGCTGATAATACGAAAGAAGAACAGGATTAAAAATGCCTTAAAGACACGTGGTATTGCCGCAAGGAAACAGGAAAAGGAGAGGAAAGTAAGGCTCCAGGAATTAGAGGCACAGATTGGTATACCGATACCTTTAGAGCTCCGTGAGGCTGTTCCTGACCCACAAAAGCTCACAACGCAGGACGAACTTGACGAACAATTGAGGACTACATTGATACAATTGCCTGAGTTCTCTGGTGTTGAATACGCTATGGAGGACTACGAAGAGTTCAATATAGAGGAACAGAAGGAGAGAGGAGGAAGATAAGGAGGAGGACAATACAGAGAGTGACTTAGAGGTAACTAATCCACAGATTTGACAGGACGTACAGTGCGACTTTACCTTAGGGCAGGATTTTGTAAGGTTCTTTGAAAGTGACGACGAGAATGAATTACAGATAATTATGTAAATAGTTTCATTTTATAGTAAGTTATCTATTACAATATCAACTATAGTACAAATTAGGTGGTCGCTAATCTACAAGGGTGCATCTTGCTTGCCGGTGCATCTTGCTTTCCCCGACCGCTAGGGAGTGGCGAAAACCGACGATTAGTAGGCGTAGGCGTAGGCTATGAGTAGGTCCGTAGCTTCGTGAGGGCTGTATTACAGCTTATAGGCCAAATACCAGCTTTCTAGAAAGCTGGTATTATAGTAGACTCCTTAAAAGTCTGCTCTCGAATTGGCCGTTTTAGCAATATGATATTATTTTATTATTCCTTACTGTATAGCGTGCAAACTGTGGCATAGTTTCCGGAAACACGTGAGCCGGAGTAGCTTCGCCGTAGCGTCATCAGCCTGATTCGGGGGTGTGCGGGGTCGTTGTACTCAGCCTGATTTGGAGACGGAGCTATGGTGGGGGGATCGCTATTTACATACAGATTTCCAGCACTTCTGACGTGCTTACCTGCATTGCCCATACAACACCAGTTCATTCCTCACTGAAGTCCTGTAACTCTCTGATTGTTTGCTCAAACCTTGTCAACTTCGTTCAAAAATAATAAGTTGTTGGGTTGTTTTATCACAATCGTAGCCATGGCATCCCCCGCAGCCTTTGAATTCCTAGCCCTCGGGGCAATTATTCAGACATTCCACGTCGGAAAGACCAACATTGTCCAGGGCTTCCCAACCGCCGAGCTTTACCAAAAGCACAATGGCCCATTCTTTGGCGAAACCATTGGCCGCGTTGCCAACAGGATCAAGGGCGCGAAACTTGACTCTCTGAACGGGAAATCATACGCCTTGGCCGCGAACAACGGACCAAACAGCCTTCATGGTGGCGATATCGGATGGGGAAAGCGTGAGTGGGCAGGACCTACTCCCGTTGGACAAAGGGAGATTCCAGAACTGGAAGGCGGAAAGCTCACAGGAGGAGAGAGTGTCAAGTTTACACTTGAGAGCCACGACGGCGAGGAGGGCTTCCCAGGTGACTTGGAGGTTTCGGTAATCTACACAGCAGGCACGCAACTTACTCCTGATGGAAAGGAAGTCAATGTCCTGGCTATGGAGTACCAGGCTGAGCTTGTTGGTGGCGCCGATGAGACTGTCATTAACATGACAAACCACTCGTAAGCTCTGATAATCGGTGTTGCAAAAACAAGGACCAACATAATTCTCAGATACTTTAACCTCTCCGGAGAGCCAACCATCGCAGGCACCGACGTCGAGCTTAGCACCAAGCTATACTTGCCGGTTGATGAGCACGGAATCCCAACTGGCGGCCCACAAGTGTACGATGCGGCCGATCTCAGCAAGGCTACCCTGGGGGTTATCGAGCCTGATGTCGACGATTGCTTTGTCTTCGACATACCACCGAACTCAATCCCGATAGATACAAGGGAGCAAGCCCTGAGGAAACTGGTCACAGCATACCACCCAAGGACTAAGATCCATCTGGAGGTGCTCTCGACTGAACCTGCCTTCCAGTTTTACACTGGAAAATACATCGATGTCCCTTCGGTTGAAGGGCTTCCCGCTAGAGGCGCGAGAAGCGGTTTCTGCGTCGAGCCCAGCCGGTTCGTTAACGCTATCAATGTTGATGAGTGGAAGGGACAGGTCCTGTTGAAGAAGGGAGAAGTGTACGGAAGCCGGACGGTGTACCGCGGATGGAGCGATGAGTAGATTAGTAACCGGCGGTCTAACAAGACTTCGCCGTTTCGTGTCATACAATGCCAGAGCTGGAATTTCTGAGTTTCTAAGAACTGCATCTTGTGAAAACCCAACTCAATGAAATGTGACTACCATTGCCGTTGATGCCACAGACCAAACCAAATAGCTTTTGCTTATGACGTCTAGTTGGTTCTCCCAACACTAAGATCGTGTATACATGTCCCTCCAACCCCATATAGATATTGTACACTTACTATATACATTTGTCTCCCCAGGACTCCAATCACCAAAATTTCCAATTGCTCCTCTTCCTTGCCTCAACAGCCGCATCTTCCTCCTCTTTCCTCCTCCTCCTCTCTTTTCGCTTCTGCTCCGCCTCAGCTTCTTTCTGGGCCTTTTTGCGGTCAATAATCTCCACCGCCCTCTTCATGTTAATCTTCTCCAGCCGCCTCTTCTGGAGACAGAACTCGTATGAGCCAATCCCCACCAAACAGAAGGTCCCAGCTGCCCAATTACATGCTCTAACAATCGGCGCTGTTTCTTGTCAGTATGGCCAGTAGACTGGGTTATTTCTGGCTTCAAAACGTACTGCCAAATAGCATCCTTGTCCCACCAATTGCAAATGCGCTGCCGATGCTGGTGAGGAGGCTCTCTCGTACGCATGGATATGTATGTATGTTTTTGAAATCCTCCACTTTAACCGTCTTCGCAGCGTCCGTCAGGCTCACGTTCTGCGGTCTTCTGCCAGCCGAATTTTGCCCATAGCCTTGCGGAAGTCCGTTTGCCGTCGATGTGCCGTCGAAGACCTCGTAGATCTTGGGTTTGTCGACATGGTCCGAGGGGGCAGTCGCGCCCGGCGGCGGATCCGCAGGGTGTGATTGCCGTTTGGCTCCTTTGTCGTCGGCCATTGTGCTGGTCGTGGGGGAATGATGAAGCTCCCACGCACCTATGATGTGGATTGAGGTACATATTGCTTTATTTGGCTTAGCTCGTTATACTTTATTTGTGCACGGACCCCACTCGTAGGGCGCGTAAAGTGATTTCCACGACGCGTCGCGCGTACGCATATACTGAGAAACCCAATTTGGCTGTTGGAGGGACCGTTGTAGACGATAGCACTTAACCATTCGTTTTGTCAATTGTTGCCCGTCTGAGCAGTAATCTTCTCTACGGCGACAAATGGTTACTTTTGTGGTGCCGCATTTCCTTTTTATTCTTCCACCTGCATTTTATACCCTGGCGTCTACAACATAATCCCCCCAATTGGACGGGTCTTCAACAGCTCGACAGAGCAAGAACGAGAAAATGGCGGGCACTCGCCGGCCACAGAATGGCCACCGCCGCGGCGGAAAACAAGCATACTATGGCAGTCGTACGAAAACATTCGCAGCGTCAAGTCGAAATGAAGCAACCTCTGCAGACGAAAAGCGCGAAGCTACTAAGCTGGCGAACGCTGTCGACGAGGCAATGGAGTTCGCACGATACGAGAGCGGAAGAAAAAAGACGGGCTGGCTTGTAAATCTCCAGGCCACGGAAATAGAAGACGAGAACAACCCAGGCGGCCGGTCTGCGCTCGATTTATACTTCCTTGAGGACGATGGTGGCACCTTCAAGGCGGCCGTGGAGTTTGAGCCGTACTTTCTGGTCGCGGTGAAGAGGGGCTATGAGCCAGAAGCCGAGGAGTGGTTAAAGCGGGTAGCTGGAGGAGGATGTGTGAAGAGTGTGCGACGGGTCGAGAAGGAGGACCTGCAGATGCCGAACCATCTCCTTGGCTACAGGAGGACGTTTCTTGAGCTTCGGTTTGTAAATCAGGAGGACCTCTTGAGGGCGAGGAGGGATGTGATTCCCATCGCAGAGAAGAATAAGAAGCAGATGAATGCTATGGATACATATGCGGAGGTCGCCAGGTTAGTAAACCTTGATTGAGGGGAAGAGCCAGGCGTAACGGATGCTAATGAGACACAGCGCGAATGCGGGCTTTGACCTTTTTGACGACGACTCACGAGGTAACGATAAACAACTTAATACGACGATTGTGGATACGAGCGATTTCATTGTTGACATTAGAGAATATGATGTACCATATCATGTGCGGGTCCTGATCGATTTAGATATCCGAGTCGGGAAGTGGTATGAAGTGGAAGCAAAGCATGGGCATACGTCGATAAGATGCATCACAGAGAGGTTGCAGCGAGCAGACCCAGTCATCATGGCCTACGATATTGAGACGACAAAATTACCCCTAAAATTTCCAGATGCCTCGATCGATCAGATTATGATGATTTCATATATGATTGATGGCCAGGGCTTTCTTATCACGAATCGAGAGATTGTTTCCGAGGATATTGACGATTTCGAATATACTCCTAAACCGGAATACCAAGGGCCTTTCATGATCTTCAACGAGCCGGATGAGAAGTCGCTAATAGAACGATTTTTCCTACACATTAAAGAGGCAAGGCCAACAGTGATAGCGACATACAACGGAGATTTCTTCGATTGGCCCTTCGTCGACGCCAGGGCCAGTGTCAACGGCATTGATATGTACCAGGAAATTGGCTGGAAGAAGGATAGCGAGGATCAGTACCAATGCAACTACAGTGTGCACATGGATTGTTTCCACTGGGTCAACCGCGACAGTTACTTGCCGCAGGGAAGCCGAGGCTTGAAAGCCGTGACGGTTGCAAAGCTTGGGTACGATCCAGACGAGCTCGACCCGGAACTGATGCTCCAGTATGCGAGCGAAAGGCCGCAAACGTTGTCAGAATATTCCGTCTCCGATGCGGTGGCGACGTATTATCTGTACATGAAATACGTGCATCCCTTCATATTCTCACTATGTACTATTATTCCTTTAGGACCAGACGCGGTCCTCAGAAAGGGAACTGGTACTCTATGCGAAATGCTTCTGATGGTAGAAGCATATCAAAAAGATATCGTCCTTCCGAATAAACACGTATCTCCGAAAGAGTCTTTCTGGGATGGCCATCTTCTCGAGTCTGAGACTTACGTTGGAGGACACGTCGAGAGTATAGAGGCAGGTGTTTTTAGGGCGGATATTCCAGTCAATTTTGCTGTCGACACAACGGCCATCGATGAGCTCTTGGCAGACCTTGATGCTGCTCTTAAATTCAGTATCACTGTCGAGGAGAAGAAGAACCTAGACGATATTACCAACTACGACGAAATCAAGCAGCAAATCACTGACCGCCTGATAAGCTTAAAGGCGACAGCAAACCGAAGCGAACGACCCCTTATTTACCATTTGGATGTGGCCGCTATGTATCCCAATATCATGACGACCAATCGGCTACAGCCCGATTCTATGATCAGCGAGTCAGATTGCGCAGCATGCGACTTCAATCGCCCAGGTAAGACCTGTGATAGGAGAATGCCATGGGCATGGCGTGGAGAATATCTACCCGCCAAACGCAATGAGTATAATATGATCCGGCACTCACTCGAAAACGAGAAATTCCCTGGGAAATGGCCAAACAGCCCCGCGCGTACGTTCGAGGAATTACCAGCTGATGAACAATCTGCCTTGATAAGGAAGCGGTTGCAGATATACAGTCAAAAGATCTATCACAAAATCCATGATTCGACGACAATTGAGAGAGAAGCGATTATCTGTCAGCGTGAGAATCCATTCTATATCAATACCGTCAGAGATTTCAGAGATCGTCGGTACGAATATAAGGGCCAACACAAAGTTTGGAAGGGGAAAACGGATGCACTAAAATCTTCAGGAGCATCTCAAGCGGACATTGACAATGGCAACAAGATGATTATTTTGTTCGACTCGCTGCAGTTAGCCCACAAGGTCATTCTAAACTCTTTCTATGGATATGTCATGAGAAAAGGTTCTCGCTGGTATTCTATGGAAATGGCCGGCGTTACTTGTTTGACTGGTGCCCACATCATTCAGATGGCACGTCAGCTGGTTGAGAGGATTGGCCGACCCCTAGAACTCGACACGGATGGTATCTGGTGCATGCTTCCCGCCACATTCCCGGAGAACTACGGATTTAACATGAAGAATGGGAAGAAGTTCACTATTTCTTACCCCTGTGTCATGTTGAACCATCTTGTTCACGACAAGTTTACCAACCACCAATACCAGACTCTAAAAGATCCTGCAACCTTCAGATACGAGACACACAGCGACAACACTATCTTCTTTGAAGTCGATGGTCCATATAAGGCCATGGTGTTGCCGACATCCAAAGAGGAAGACAAGAACTTGAAGAAGCGTTATGCTGTATTCAATGACGATGGAAGTCTCGCAGAGCTGAAGGGATTCGAAGTCAAGCGAAGAGGGGAGCTGAAACTGATCAAGATCTTCCAGCAGCAAATCTTCAAGTTCTTCTTGGAGGGGACAACACTCGTCGAGACTTATGCTGCAGTGGCAAAGGTCGCCAATAGGTGGCTCGATGTTCTGCACTCGAAGGGTGAAACACTTGCAGATGAGGAGCTCATTGACCTTATTTGCGAAAACAGGAGTATGTCAAAGACGCTGGCAGAATACGGTACGCAGAAGTCGACGTCTATCACAACAGCAAAGCGTCTAGCGGACTTCCTTGGAGAGCAGATGATTAAGGATAAGGGGTTGAACTGCAAATATATTATTTGTGCCAGACCAAAGTCTGCTCCTGTTACTGAGCGCGCTATTCCCGTCGCTATATTTTCTGCAGAAGCGTCAGTCAAACGCTACTACCTAAGGAAATGGCTCAAGGAAGACCCCGAGAACATGGATCCTAGAGCACTACTGGACTGGAACTATTATCTTGACCGTCTCGGGTCTGTTATCCAGAAACTCATTACTATTCCCGCCGCCCTTCAGAAAGTCCGCAATCCTGTCCCGAGAGTGGCTCATCCGGAGTGGCTTCAACGCCGTATCAACACCAAGGACGACAAGATGAAGCAGAAGAAGATGACTGATCTGTTTTCCAAGAAACCACTGGAAGATATTACAAACCTGAAAGACCAGACTCTCGGCGATCTGGAAGATTTTGGAACCCAAATACTGAAGCCGAAAACCATAACTAGCTTGGTTATGTCGTCTCAGCCAAAGCCACAAAAACGAAAGTCGCCCGAACCTGCAGTTCCAGTATCAGTCGACCCTTTCGCCGCCTTGCCAAAGACTATGCCTGATCCGACACAAGACTATATTGGCTTCTTAAAGTACCAAAAGCAGAAGTGGAAGATCCAAAAGCAGTCGAGGATCCGTCGTCGACATCTCTTCGGCGAGACGCGAGCCGCCACCTCTAGTGATATTGGAGCTACCTTCCGAGTCCAAGCCGAGCTTGTTTATAGGAGCACCTGGCAGGTACTGCAGCTCAGTGGCACTGAAAGCCCGGGTACGGTACTGGCACATGTGTTGATCGATAACAAGGTCCACACCATCAAAGTGAAAGTACCACGTAGCCTGTTTCTGAATATGAAAGGGAAGGATTTGCCCGATGTGGATATTGAGGGATGCTCGGCCCAGAAGGTGTCTCACACGCTCCCGAATGGACATCCTTCAGTGCATCTATTCAAGCTCACAATGTCGGAGGATGTGTACGTCAATGGAGCCCGAAAGCTTGCGCTACTCTTCAACCACCCAAGTGTCGAAGGAGTTTATGAGAAACAAGTGCCGCTGGATGTCCGCGCTTTGCTGCAACTCGGCACCCTGTGCACGTTTGACGATACTCAATCTGGTGTCCTTGGTAAGGGTCTTGAGCATGGGTTTGACTTGTCATCATTGAAGCAATCCGCGGCGAAGAACCCCTATCTCACAGACTCTCCCATGGCATACCTTTACCTGTACCATATCGTGGCAGGAGAACGTCAAATCTTTGCCATATTTTCGAGTGCAAGGGACCAAGCACACATCGTTATCCTTCAGAACTCAAGAGAGAGTCAAGAGCTTCCGAATATCGCCAAAATATACACAGACGCCCTGGCCAAACGGTTTTCCGAGGCAGAAGGCAAGTCGTGGCAGGATTGCTTTGATTACCAAGATAAGATACAGTTCACCACCAAGGTCGTATCCACAAAGCGCAAGGCACTTCTTGAAGTGGGCGATTTGGTGAAGAAGATCAAGAGCGATGAAACAAAACCTCTCATTCTCGTGATTCAATCTCCACAGAAACGTATGCTTCTCCACGACATGCCAGTACTTGCCGACTTCCCAGTGTTAACGCTTCCGCACGACAAAAAGGACATCTCATTCCCACCTCTTGGGTGGCAAGCATTTATTGCAAAGCGCATCATCAACAACTACCTCAATCTTGGCTCGTGGATCTCCGAACTCACGAACCTGGCGAGATACGGCGATGTGCCGCTTTGCAATTTGGAGCGTGACGATCCAAGATTCTTGATCGATATCGCTTATGCGAGGAGGCTAGAGAAGAATAATGTTGTGCTTTGGTGGTCAAGTGGTCCAAGACCTGATCATGCGGGTTATGAGAAGGACGATGTGCTTGGGCCGCTGGAGACGGTTCAAATGCCCACCGTCAACAACCCAGGCACATACTCTTCTGTTTGCATTGAGATTGATGTCCGAAACCTGGCGATCAATACTATATTGACCTCATCTCTGATCAATGACCTGGAGGGTTCTATGGATTCAGTAACCTTCAATCCTGCTGCTCCTCAAGATGACGCACCTACTGACGGAGCGAATGCTCTGTATTCTGACAATGCGTTCGCCGGAGCAGGTGTGGCGGTGCTGCGGGAGATGGTGAAGGCTTGGTGGACAGAGGCATGCAAGGGTAGCCCAATGGCTGATATGATGGTCCTTCATCTACTGCGCTGGGTTGAGAGCCCCAACTCTTTCATGTACGACCGCTCTCTACACTACTACGTGCAGATGATGTCGCGCAAGGCCTTCCAACAACTCATGGCCGACTTCCGCCGCGTCGGGTCTCACGTCGTCTTTGCTGATGCCAACCGTCTGCTGTTGCAAACTACTAAAGCTGAGGTCGGAAACGCGTACGCATACAGTCAGTATATCCTCAAATCGATCAAATCGAAGCCCCTATTCCACTTTTTGGAATTGGAGATTAAGGAATACTGGGACTACTTGGTTTGGTACGACGAGTTCAACTACGGTGGGAAAGGATGCGAGGAGGTCGTCGAAGCTGAGAACCAGACTTTGGAGTGCATCATGCACTGGCAGCTGGCGAAGTTCTTGCCTGAGCCTATGCAGCCTATCTTCAACGACTGGGTTATTCAGTTCATCGAGCTGATGCACGGACTGAAGAGGCCACAGTTCGAAGACCCCAACGCTACACCCCGGCCTACTCTCCTCCCCGTCCGCGCGCTCGGTGAAGACAAGGCAGACAAGGCGGTACTGGGAAAAACCTTCGAGAGGCCCCTAAAGCGACAAATTGCGCAGCTCATCCGCCGGCAGAAGGACGAGATGCTCCACCCGGAGCTCGTCATGGACTACCGCTTCCCGTCGCTCCCAGGGTCCCATCTCACCTTTACCAACCCGGCCTTGCAGCTTGTCAAGTCCTTGATGCAGGTTCTCTCGCTCGACAAGAACATCATGTTAGAAGCGCGGCTCCTACGCAAGGAGCTCCTCATGCTCTTCGAGGTGCGCGAATTTAGCTCTGAGGCGACATTCGTTAACCCCTCATCGTCGCTACGTTTCCAGCAGGTCATCTGCGACACCTGCACGATGGCGCGGGATCTCGATTTCTGCCGGGACGCGGATCTAGTACCTGACGAGGGCGCGGCGGGCGAGTTCCGACCCTGGAAGTGCGGGTACTGCGGGACGGAGTATGAGCGGATTGTACTTGAGCAGCGGATGATTGCGGACGTGGAGGCGCTTGTGACTCAGTGGGCGACGCAGGACCTGAAGTGTGTCAAGTGTAGCGGGGTGAGGATTAATGATTTTATGGAGCACTGCTCGTGCAGTGGTGAATGGGTGGGAGAGATGAAGCGCGCGGATGTAGAGAAGAAGCTGGCTATATATGAGAAGGTGGGCAAGTTTTACGAGCTGAAGATGCTGAAAACTGTGTTGGAGGGGGTACTTGGGGGGTTATAGAGGGGGATGGGAAGGTGGGAAGGAGGGGTCAAGTATTCCGGATAATGGGATTAAAGGCGTTTTGGGGGATGGATATGATATGAATGGAACAGGAGCTCTGCATGGGCATTACATGAGCGCTTTGCTGCGGGGCTTGGATATAGGCAGTGAATGGACAAATCTCAATAACATGCTTACTGCGCTTTTAACAGGAACGAATAGAAGTTCCTGCACAAGAACTGATGTCTGTGGATGTGATTGGTAGCATTGTATGTTTTGCGGATTTTTATATTATTTGAGGCCATCGCCTAATCTTCTAACTTAACTAAAGCCATGCAATTATGTAAACCCCCACTCACCCCACCAATGTCCCAACACCCCGCTCGGATCCGCGCTCATAGCTATCTGTTGTACGTATATATGCGTCACCGCCCTATTTCTTCCTCTCCTCCCTTCTTTCTTCTTTTCATCAAACAAAAATTCGATTCCCCGTCAATTTACAACTTACATACACCAAACATACGCATATTTCGACGGTATGGCATTGGATATGGCTGAGCCTCATGCATTGGAGATGTCGTCGGATCAAGGTAATGTACAGTAAAAGCATGACGGGTGTCCAGGCCCTCAATTGTCTCTTCCAGCTCAGCTCTGGAGGTTGTGGTCTCACGACCCTCCCTTCATCGCGAGTCAGAGCTGGAAGAGGTAGTTGATGACCTGGTTCTGAGATTATACCGTATGAACTTGATCTAGACAATTCTAGCGCATAAGGACATGCTTCCCCCTCCCCTGTAGTCACAAACTCATGAAGTGTAGCAAACGAGCTCTCAAGATGTCTACCGATAAGATTACCTTCTTGATGAACTGGTAATTGGAGACAAGTCTTGGTTGATTGGGGGATGTAGGCTGATTTTAGGTTAGGCACGCGACGCCATACCATGCTCCGGTCTACCTGGCCCAGAAGAAAGGATACTTTGCCGACGAGGGTATCAAGGTTGCTCTGTTGGAGCCGAATGATCCATCTGGTAGGAAGCTCTTTCGGTAGGCATGAGGCGTGAGACTAACTGGCGCCAGATGTCACCGAGATCATCGGAAGTGGAAAAGTTGATATGGGATTCAAGGCCATGATCCACACTCTTGCTGTAAGTCTACGCAGAATCTACCAACCTTCCACCACCTGACACATCTCCAGGCCAAAGCCCGTGACTTCCCCGTCACCTCTATCGGCTCTCTCCTCGACGAGCCCTTCACCGGCGTCGTCTACCTCAAGGACAGCGGCATCACCACCGACTTCACCTCTCTCAAGGGCAAACGCATCGGCTACGTCGGCGAGTTCGGCAAGATCCAAATCGACGAGCTTACCCGCCACTACGGCATGACGCCCGACGAATACACCGCCGTGCGCTGCGGCATGAACGTCTCCAAGGCCATCATCGAGGGCACCATCGACGCCGGTATCGGACTTGAGAACGTCCAGATGGTCGAGCTCGAGGAGTGGCTCGCATCACAGGGCCGCGCCCGCGACGACGTCCAGATGCTTCGCATTGACGAGCTCGCCGAGCTGGGATGCTGCTGCTTCTGCTCTATCTTGTACATCGCCAACGATGCCTTCATCGCTGCGAACAAGGACAAGGTCGCTGCGTTCATGCGGGCCGTCAAGCGCGCGACTGACGATGTCATTTCCAGCCCCGCTGAGGCGTACAAGGAGTATATCGACGTCAAGCCGCAGATGGCTGACCCGGTTAACCGCAAGATCTACGAGCGATCGTACGCGTACTTCTCGCAGGATCTCAAGAATGTGGAGCGTGACTGGAAGAAGGTGACTGCGTACGGAAAGAGACTGGGTGTTTTGCAGGAGACCTTTGTGCCGAACTACACCAACGAGTTCCTGACCTGGAACTTGGAGGGCGACTCGGCCGACCCTACTGGCGACCAGAAGCGCATGGTCGACTTGCAGAAGGAGGTCGCTTGCTGTGGTGGTTTCCGCAGACTGAATGTTCAGGTTAAGGCTTGATTGATCGCATTTGGGATCTTATTTTCGTCTTGGCTGTAAAGCTAGATGAGCCACTCATTTCGATTACTAGTTTATAAACCCTATATAACGCACTTGGTAGGAGTAGATCTTATGAATGGATTGTCTACTTCTACAATGTATGGTGCAGCTCACACTTGATACTAACCCTGCGGCCAAAAGACTGCAAATGAAGTCACTGTAAATCCATCATCATTCAAATTATCCCCTCTAACGTAATTAGCTAGGCCCTTATATCAAGGTTCCCATGAGCTCAATGCCTTTTCTTGAATGTCCCAAATTGGCCTAGCCAACTCTACGAACTTGCTGCCGAATTGGTCTAGCACAAGTCGAACATGATCCTCCTTATCTGTACTATCTCGACTTCCCGTTCCATTTTCGCCACCGAATGTTGCATCCCACCAGGTCTGTTTCCACTCCTTAACCGCTAGCTTCGCAGCATCCGAATGGGGTTGGACACCACTTGCGACAAGGTAAAACGATGATCTCTTCGCATGCTTCTTCGCAGGCTTAAATACCTGGACTGAAGAGAAGCTGTTAAAGCGATAGATGGTCTCCAAGGTGTCCCATGCCTCTATCCTATGTAGCAAGACAACAATTGTCCCACCAGACCGAATGCGCTGGAGTGCTAAAATCAACTGCGAAACGGTCAAGCGACGTGCTTCGTGATTCTCTCGATATTCAGGGCGCTCATGCGTCCGAAGTACCTGGCCGTCACAAAATATCAATTGGAACGTCTGACCCCAGAACGGCCTCTCGTCGCCAAAGCTGGTGCGATCAGGGTGCGTGAGGGGTATCATCTCCACGCCATACTCCTTCGCCAACATCGTAACGTCGAGGAAGAGCATGGTCGAGCTAGAGCGCGGTAGGAGCACCTTGTGGCCGCCCTGCTGTAATGGAAGACTAATTCCAAAGGCAGTTGCGTTGGGATTGTACCTTAATGCACTGGCTGTATAGCCACCTGGCGCCATGCAGATATCTAAAATATCCATATTTCCTTCAGGGTTGGACTGTGGACTAAGGCAACGGGTACAGCTCTGCATCTCATCTCCAATTTCTTGCATCATCTTATAGAACCTATAAGTCTCTTTATTCTTTGCACCATCGGCCACGCGGCGTTGTCGTGCAAAATAATCGTCTCCGCGAACGTTCTCCCACCCCTGTTTTATTATTTAGTCTTACTTGCTTAGCAAAAATTAATTAGAGGCTTACCTTTTCCCTTGCTATAGCAAGTCTTCTAAAGGCAGGTTCATTTTGTATAAAGAACTCCTTTAGAATAGAGTTAGGATGCAGTCCTAATGTTTTAGCCTCGCCTAAGTCAACTATAGACTGCGCTTGGGTGGACATAGTTGCTTGCGGTTGAATTCCTATGAGTATTGCAGTTAAATTAACAACAGCGTGGCGGGAGTTGCTACTTAATGACAGATATGTCAAGGCTGTGAGGGCTGTGCAAATGGTGCCTTATTTTATGAGTTCTACGGACTCACAACTGGCTCTAGGGGAGGAGAGCCGATTGGCCAAATATGTCGTAGACCAACATCAAATCGATGCTCGTCGGTCGCCATAACGCTGGGAGCAAGACCTATAGGAACGAACCTTCGACCGGGTTGCCGTTATCGAACATTAGCCACATAATATTGTTCCTAACTAAGCATCGCGCATGCTACCATATGAGCGGCTCGCAGTACTATTGCCAGCCTCGTAGTTCTCAGCCTATGATAAAATAACACGTCGAAAGAGGAAAACGTGCTTGAAGTAGGAGCCTATAGCCTGTGCATGGTGGACGAGGAGAGCACTTGGCCGACCGACTATCATGGCCACTTCACTTCGGGCCATCCCTTGTGCAAGAATCGGCTTGTAGTCAACGAGGCCACCGAACATAGTCAAGACTAGCTAGCAGGTTGATAAAATACCTCGATACCTCGGCGTTTAACCATTTCTTAGGCGTGAATTTATTAATAAGATGAATAGAAATGCACGATCAGAGAGTCTAGGAAGCAGCTAAAATGCCAATTACAAAGATGAATTGCCTCATGATATAAACGTTCGAATGATGGTCGGCAAACATCAACTAGAATGGCACAACATATCATCCGCATGGTCATATTATTTTTACACCTAGAAATAAGAGCTTAAATATGAGCTCCTCTCTTAGGTTTAGTAGGCTTAAAGAGGCGTACGCCGCCCTCTGTCATTAACTATTAGGTACCGTACAGTATATGGTCACAAGCGACCTTTTTCTGTGAGTTGAGACAGTGCAATTATTTATACGTGACTTTACATGATATATTCCCAATGGGACGGGCATAAAATCACCCAAGTTGCCATAAATTCGATAAATTCGGGCCCCGCTACCCCGCCATCAAAGTGCGGGGTGCGGGGTCCAGGGTGAGTGTCAGCCCACCACCATCCTCAAATACCCCATCCCCCCACCACAAAAAACCACCACCACGAAAACCGCCATCGAAGCCCTCGGCTGCACCGTCATAATCCTCACCTGCGACCTCTCCTCAGCCTCCTCCGTCGCCTCTCTCACCCCCTCATCCTCTCCTCTCACGACCCCTCCATCCTCCTCAACTGCGCCGGCATCCAGCGCCGCCACCCCTCCGCCTCCTTCCCCGACTCCGACTGGGACTTAGTCCTCCAAACCAACCTCTCCACCGTCTTCACCCTCTGCCGCGATATCGGGGCACATATGCTTACCCGCCCTGGTCCGCATAGGGGGAATATCATTAACATCGCCTCACTACTCAGTTTTCAAGGCGGGTTGACGGTGCCGGCGTACGCGGCGGCGAAGGGGGGGGTGGCGCAGTTGACGAAGGCGCTGAGCAATGAGTGGGCGGGCAAGGGGGTCAATGTCAATGCGGTGGCGCCGGGGTATATCGCGACGGAGATGAATGATGCGTTGATTGCGGATGCGGATCGGGCGGCGAGTATTTTGGCGAGGATACCGGCGGGGAGGTGGGGGAGGCCGGAGGATTTTGGGGGGGTGGTGGTTTGGCTTGCGGGCGGGGGGAGTGCGTATGTTACGGGGGAGATTGTTACTGTTGATGGGGGGTGGATGGGGAGGTGATGGGGTTGGTTGGGACGAGGTAGTTGGGTACGGTTGGGAGAGTGGTATTGTGATTTAGGATATGTTTTGTTTAGATTCCTCGAGCTTCAGATTATTAGGACATTACAATATCATTTCTTACACCCCCTTCCTTCTCTACAACTTCCCCTTAACCTTCCCCCTCCGCCTCCCTCACCTTCCCCTTCGCCTCCCCAATCGCCTCGTTAATCTTCCCCTTCACCTCGCCCTCCTCATTATACAGGTCCTCTTCGAATTCCCTCTTCGCTTGATGTCCCTTCAGCCCCGTCGCCTGTTTGGTCTTTTCCGCTACCGTTTCTGGGAGCGGGGGGTTAGTTTTCGTTTAAAGGACTTGTGAGAGGGGAGGGGGAGTGATGGGCTTACCTCCAACTTTAATCCCCCCAACAAGCTTATCGCTCACCTTCCTATCAACCGTCTTCAACGCATCCTTCGCCGCATCAACCGGCCCCTTCTGTCTCATCGCCGAGACCGTAAAAGCCCTCGTCACAACCGGCGTGCGCACGATCTGGCGAATCGGCTGGGCGGAGCGTGCTAGAAACGACATTTTGCTTTATATGTATAGGTGGATTGGTAGGTAGGTGGATTGGGGTGTGTGTCACAGCTGATGTGGGAAGTCTAGAGCTGCTGTAGTGTGGTGATGAAGATTGATGGGATTTTGATGGATTGATTTGATGGCGGGTTTGAATTGTGAAGAGAGTAGTGGCGTTAGAGAGAAGATCAAGTCTTATATACGACACCAGCTACAGAGAAACAGGGAGTCCTGTTGTTGGGGGGGAGCTTGGAAAAATGACATGATGTCATGGATTTGATAAACTGGGGGATGATCGATACTCCAATCGTTTTGTTTAAATTCCTTGTGGGACCAATTGAACTGCATACAGATAACATAATTGTTATACCCGGTTAGGAATTGTTTAGTTATTTTAATTGGTATTTCTGTAATGCTTCTGTTGGGGTGTAGTTGACTTTTGTGTTCGTCGTCGAGAGATGAGAGAGATGCCATACCTAAGCTCGGTCGGTGGTGAAATATCACAGCTGCGTCATGGCCTACATCGAGATTCCTGCTGTTAGCGCACCTCATTTACCATTGCAGGATCCCGAAACTACGTAGCCCTGCCCACCTCACGTCACCTCATTGCACATCACGAAACTTCACATAAAGACAATAGACACAGCACACATAATCTCATCTCGTCAAAGCATACCATGAATTCTCCCCCCCCCACCCAAAAAAAAGTAGGCAGGTAGATCATACTCATACAACCCCATCCATCGCCCAGCGCTTTCCGTAGAACGTACATACAAAGGCGCCTGCTTCAATCCCCCTTTAAATATAATCCCCCCCCCCAAAACAAAAACACGTAAACACCACCACCCGCTTCCCACTCCAAGAAAAAGCACACACACCCCCCCCAGCACGGCGTAATGAAAAACATAAGCTGCTATATCACCACCCCACAACTTACTCCCCACCCCCTACCCCCGCCTCAGCAAGCATCCTAACCCTCCCCCTCTCCACCTCCGCTTTCAACTCCTCATTCCGTCTCTCCGCCTCCTCCAACCTCTTCCTCGCCTCGCTGCGATCCAATAACCTCGCCTCGCGTTCGGCCTTCAACCTTCTTTCCAGCTCCTTTAGGCGAAATACCCACCACTCCAAGTCCTCCCCCCCTTCTGGTGCCCCCGCTCTAGATCCACTGCCTCTGGTAGAGCCAGCTGAACTACCCGCGCGCTCAGGCACCTCCGCCGCCGCAGCGTTCGCATAATTAGCAGCAGCGGTAGCTTGGTGGCGGGTTAACGCCTTCGTCCTCGGTCCCGTCGGTATACTCGGCGCCGGACTGCCCGGTTCAATGACCTCGTAGACCCCCTTTCTCGGAGTCGCGGATCTAAGCGCTTGGATATCAACGCGGAGGAGACGATTCATATCCTGGAGCCTCACGATCTCCGCCCTCTGATCGGTAGAGGAATTCATGCTCGCTGACCTGACGAGGCCTTCTAGGCGATCCAGTTTCTTCGTCCGTGCTTCGAGGGTATTTTCCAGTGACGAGAAGTCCCTCGCCAAATCCCGCTCAATAGTCCTTACCCTCGTCTTGAAGCCCGCAATAAGTGCCTCAATCTTTTTCGTAGAAGCAAGGAGGTTTTTAGCAAAGCCAGGTAGCATAGTCGATACGGCTTCGAGGGACGGTAAGGCGCGGCCATTGATAAGACTATTCCCATGCGCCCAATCCGAGCCACAGATCGTCGACAACCGATTCCACATCGTCAACAACAAGTTATTCCTTTCGTTAAGCTGGTCCTTGAATGTATTCTCCAAATGGCTCAATTTCTTCCTATCCGCCTGCAACGCCGCCTCCAGCTGCGCCACGCGCGTCTCCTGTTGCCCGACGGTGCGGGTGGTATGGTTATGCGTCTTCAAGAACGTCTCGTGCTGGTGTTTCGAGTTCCGGTGCGCTTGCCGCTCTTTATCTAGCATCTCAGCCAATATCCCGTATTCGAGGCCGTGGGACTCCAGAAGTGTGTCCCGCTCGCGGATGATTCGGTCTTTCTCCAGGATCGACGTCTTTGTAGTGTCGAGCTCGCGGGTAGTGTTGTCGAGTTGTTTCTGGAGGTCGCCGATGCCTTTGAGGAAGGTGGAGCGCGTGCCGTTGAGGTCACCGAGGGTTTCGCGGAGGTTGTTCTCCAGCTCGAGTAACCTCTCCTTCCACTCCGTAGCCTCGACCTCGCGACTAGATAAGTTCTTACGCAGGCGTCTTGCGTCATCCTTAGCATTCGACGCCTCGCGATTAAGCTCATTAATATACCTCTGCACCTCCTGCTTCTCCTTCCCCGCCACCACCTCCCTCTGATGCCTCTCACTCGCCAAGCGTTGCTCCAGCTCCCTAACCCTCTCCCTCTCATCCCTCACCGCCCCCTCCGCATTCTTCAGCGCCGACTCCAGATCCCCAATCTTGATCTTATCCCCATCCTGCTCCTCCCTTAGGAACGCAATCTCCCCCTGGCTCGACTCCTGCTGCACCGTCAGGCGGTTAATCTTGTTATTCGCCTCAACAATCGCCTTCTCCATCCCATTCAGCTCGCGATTCGCATCCTCCAGCTCCCGCTCCAGCTCCTGGATCCGCCGGGTCTTAAGATCGTGATCATCCTCCAGCCGCACCAGCGCCTCGCTCATCCCACGCATCTCTGCCTGCAGCGCATTGAAGTTCTCCGCCTGGTTCGCCAGCTCAACCTGCAGCCCCTCCATCTCCACAGCCCGCTTTTCCGCGTCGGCTTCGAGCGCATCGATCTCCTCTTGCGCTTCCTTGCGCAGATTCTCAAACTCAATCTCTACCTCCTCCTGTCCCTTGAGCGCCTCATCGCGATCAGCCTGCATGGTCTGCAGGTCGCTCTCGGCGACTTGCAACTCGTGCTGTAGCTCCGCCGCCAGCGCCTCAGCCTCGCGCTTCGATTCAATCGCCGTCTCGAAATCCTCCATGCAGCTGTCCAGCTCCTTGTGCAGCTCCTGGTTGTCGAGTTGCAGACCGTTCAACTTATCCCGCAGCTCCGCATTCTTGTTCTCCAGGTCCTCGCGCTCCGCATCTGGAATTATGGCAGTGACGCGCGTCAGCTCGCTACCGCGCGACTGCGGTCTCTCCCGAGTGCGCGAAGCAGAGCGGTCGAGGATGCTGTCGCCGGCGATCGAGCCGCCTCTGCGGTGGCCGAGCTTGAGGTCCTCAATCTCCTGGTATAGACGCTCCTTCTCGCGGTTCCGAGACGTCAGCATTGAGGTCTGCGCGCCGACTTCCCGACGGAGCTCGGCGTTCTCGTGACGCAGCAGGTCGCTCTCGCGACGGAGATCATCGACAAGGGTGCTAGCTGCGCTGAACGCGCCACCACGGTCATCGACTCGCTCCGACATCCCCGAGCGCGGTCGCGTCGGAGACCCCTGTCGCTTCTTGGTGATATGGTAGATATTAGTAGTGTGATTCAACCCCGCTCCTCCACCCGAAACCACACTCTCGCTCCTGAGTCTGAAGATCTCGTCGCGGAGCTTGCGGTTATCCTCGTCGGCTTCCTCGCGCCGCGCGGTCTCCTGCTCGAGAAGGTCTTTCCACACGTCCATCTCCTCCCTTGCATCCATGTCCTCGCCTCGCTTCTCGCCCATGGACCGCACGGTCTCGGCGAGCTTGCGCTTCTCGGACTCGCGGGAGAGGCTCTCGGTACGCATCTTCTCGATTTCGACTTCGTATTCCTCCATCCGTTCTCGCAGGTAGATTAGTTCCTGTTCGCGCTCTTGTGCACCTTCTTGGTCGAACCACTGGGGTTGGCTTTCGGATGATGCGCCGGAGCGAGCAGTTCCTGGTCGCGGCGAGCCGTCTTTACTCTTCTCGAGCTCTTTGACTTTGCGCCGTAATGCCTTGTTATCTCTCTGCATATTCGCGAGGACCGTTTTCATCTCGACATTCTCAGAAATCATCTCCTTAACGCCTTCTTCAGATAACTTGTCCAGCCTATCACTGAGGAACATGACCTTCAGCTTCAAATCAAAGTTCTCCTTCGAGAGCCGCTCAATAGTGCTACTCTGCTCCTTGAGCGTCATATTCTTTCCATGACGTTCCGTGCTAGGCCCTGGAAGCTTACCCGGTGAGACACCCGATTTATTCCTGTATTCTTTGGCGACGGATTCCGGAACATGCACGTTACGAACATGCCTCGCGATGACCGTGTCTGTGGGCGCAGCCAGCGAGTGGCTCGTCGCGCGCGGTGTCGCTGGCGCATTTGCGTAGTCGTCGGCGGTTTGACTACTATCCGCTCGCGACCGGTTCCTCTCCTCTTCCTCCAATGTCCCGAGAACGGGCTTCAATTCGGCCGAATCATCGATGCCAGATGCCATGCTGCCTAGACTGATACTTCGCGATAGCATGTAGCTGCTGTGTCGAGACGCGCCATACGCTGGCACAGCGCCACCAGACAACATAGCGTAGTCCGTCCCGTAGGTCATATCACTATTCTCCTCTGCATCAGTATTCGCGACAGACGACGATACAGACGATCTCTGGCTCGCATTTCGACTCCTTAGGAACTTCGGCCGTCTCCCTGACCTGCGCCTATTAACCAGCGCCGCGCCAGGGGTACTCCCAGCGTCCGCAGCATTAAGACTCTGATTCGATGTCTGATGCCGTATCGTAGACCGCTCATCCGACGAGTCCCCCTTAGTCCCCTGCAAAGATTCCGGCTCAAATATCCTCGGCGTGCCCTGCCGACTCAGTCCTTCCCCATTTCCGTTCTCACTCTGCGGCGGGCTCGGAGCATCCGACGTAACATGTCCTTCAATATCATATCCCATACTCACCATCGAAATCGCTCTCGACACCGTCCTCGCCGCCGCCGCAGCAGTCGGCGACGACATAGTCTCCAGCGACGACGTCGTATTCCCATTATCCACCAGCGAATCCCCCAACATCGACCCCTGCACATGCGGCGTCTCCCTCTCTGACATTGGCGTAAACGACTTCTGCCTCCCCTCGTCCCGCGCCGCACCCTTCGTCGGCGTCCTGATCCCCGGTATTCGGTCCGCAAGTGCGACCGGCTCGCGCGCCCCGTCGAATAAATACGTATCGTCGGCGCCCGGGTTGGCGGACTGGCCTATGGGGCTCGGCCCGGGGAGGAAGCTGCTCTCCACGTCGTTTAGGTGCCGGCGCATCTCGCTCTCGTCCATGGTATCGGGGTAGCCGTCGCTGTGCTCCTCGCGGCTTAGGTCCTCGGACATCATGCTGCTCTCCCCCGGCGGCAGGGCGGGGAGGTTGCCTAGCGAGGGGAAGCGTTTGGCGGTTTTGTTATTGTTGGTGGTAGTGTTATCGTCGAAAGCCTGCTGGTGCTCGTCCATACTTGAGTCGGCGAAGCTAGTCGGTTTGGCAGGCGCCACGTTCTCGTCGTCGTTGGTGGCCATAGTGAACCCCTCTACGTTCTTCTTGCGCGAGCCCTTGCGCGAGCCCTTGCGCGAGAGGGTGATGCGCGCTTCGGCGGGCGGGGGCGATGAGTCTTCGGTCGCGGTCATGGTGTTGCGGGCATTACGCGTCGCGGTGATGAGGGGTGTGAGGGCGAGTAGGAGGTTCGCGGCATGAGCGACTCGGTGCGTGGTGGTGGTGAGTTTTATGTGTGGGCTCAGACACACGCTGCTGTTTGACCTGCGTCGTGCAGGACCGGGATGTGGATGTGCGCTGCAGCGGGTGTGTAGGTGATGAGGTTATGGATTGTTGTTGAAGAGGTACAGAATCGGTGAGACAGTGTTCTGAGGTTAGTATTGTTATGGCGCGCGGGTTCATGTCATGGTTCGTGGGGGAAAATGAAGCTCGAGGTTGTTGTGGTGCATGGCGACTGGGATCAGGGGACTCCATCACGTGATCCACCCATCCTCCCGCCAGATCCGAGATCCATCGGCCGCACCAGCCAACCAGTTAGAAGTGTTAGAAGGTTAGGAGGACATGACATTGATGTTCATTATTGGGAGAGGTGGGGGAATACTAGCTAGCTACCAGCCATCATCGATAACTGTTACCGATAACGGGAATTATGGCCCATAATACTGACAGAAGCGCTACCACATAAGCAGGTAGGTTCTACAGGCTGACAGAAGCTATAGCGCTTCTGTCAGCCTGTAGAACCTACCTGCCGAGTAGTCTCACTTACCACCTCCATACTAACTTGAGCCTCAACCTCAGTACTCTAAAGGATATCCTCTCCCTCTTGTATAGACTACCCCATTGCATTATACGCCTCTTACACTTCCTTTCTCTCTTCTTTTTCTGTTTATTTGCCGCTTGTATAGCCTTAACTTCTGCCTTAAGTAGAACAGCAGAATGCATCATAACTTGCGCTCCTTTAACAAGGCAGCTAATAGCATCATTGGTTAAGGTAGGAGAGGTATTCTAATGTCATACGACACAGTCTAAGATAATCTAGGTTATGTAGGATCTTAAGGGATTAAGGAGACTTATAAAGGCTTATGATAATAGTATGATCTAGTATAGGATCCATTTAGCATAACTTATATAAGTTAAGCATGAAGCTCCTATCTAAGAACTAACTATATAAGTAGATAGTTAGTTCTTAGACAGGAGCTTCATGCTTAACTTAATATAGTATTCTTTATATAATAAAGCCACTTCTCGGGGTCAGAGCTGCTGGATTTGGCAGGGCGCGGTTTCGGCTTTACGCACCCTTTACCTCCACGCTAAAGCCAAATGCACGTGATCACACATCGAATCACAGCCCCATATCGGTTACCCTTTAGACGGTTCCTGGTTCCTGGTCCCTGTGGTCTGCTTTCTGTTTCTCTCTTTTTTGCTCACCCCAAGGTACTGTTACGATGGTCATTGTAAGGACACAGGGAATACAGCTCTCCGTAGGTGCATATGGGAGTGCGAGTCGGAGGTGATGCTGTATTCTATCCTATAGGTCTACTACGAAGGATACAAAAAAGATGAAAGGGGAGCTTATAGCTTCCTACCCCTTATGTACCTAAATGGGGTCCGACTCGGCTAGGCCTTAGCGTACCGGTAGATCCACTCCCGTCTGCCGCCCGAATCGACCCCGACCCTAGAACATCTATGCTGCTATACTACTATGTCGCCTATTCCGCGTTGTCTTACGGGTCCGAGGGTACCCCGTGTAAGGAGGCATCCTTACATTACCCCCCCCCTTGAGAGAGTGCTTTGTCCTCAAAGCGCGTGGCTCCGTGTGCCGACCGAATGGTAGCCGAGTGTCGGTATGGTCTAGGTAGTCTTTGTTCGAAGATCGTGGTGCTGAATGCGTCCGTGGGATGGATCGCGGAGCGTGCTTTGTTCCTAATAAAAGCGGATTGTTGAGGTCCGAGTTGGCACCGTATAGTATCCAGTTGTGGTGTTGCGCGTCGCGAGTTTCTTAGTTACTGTGCGCGCGCTACTACTCCTCAGAAATTCATTGTTCTAAGCGGTTGTTATGGAGCAACCGATTCCACCCAGGATTCGAAGGCTTCTTTTTACAACAACACCGCCTACGAACCCACCTCCCGAATCCAGTAAGTAGCCCCTCTTGTTCGTATACTGTATACTAATCTGATTGTTTCATAGGAAACAAAACAAACCAGACGACCGAGTAGGTGATGATTGCGCGCCGACGCGTAGGTGATAACTTCTGGGCTTGGGGCTGACGGTTTTGTAGGAAACCTTTTCGCGAAGATGCCCGTCCTGCTGCCCCCCGGGGCCCTCCCGGCTGCGTACCGCGTCCTCTGTATGAGATGCGTGCGCCATATTGGGACACCCGACGATGCTCCCATGGAGCACGAGTGCGTTTGGAGCGAGAAAAGCTCCAAGTGCGCCTACTGCGTGAAGCAGAAGGCACCATGTGTGCCGGTGAGTTCTCGGGTGCTGTTCGGTCTGGTGGTTGGTTTCCTGTGCTGACTTTCTGGGGGATAGATTCTCTGGTTCCTCGAGGAGGAATATGCCGCCATCGTCGCCGCCGAAGCGGCCACCCCTCCCGTCCCGGCCACCACCCTCAAGACCTACAAGGAGGTCGCGCGCGTGGCCGACCTCTCCAGCGCCGCCATGCCGGCCCTGCGCTACCCCTTTGAGGGGGCGCAGTACATTCAGGGGCTGGCCACCCTCGCTGCCATCAAGGTAAGTTTTCCCCTTTCTGTTGTTCTTGTTCTGGGTCTGACTCCTAGGTAGGACCTCGCCGCCGCGGTGGAGGGGTTGAAGGAGGATACGGGGAAGCTCCTCGCGGGGCAGGCCCGCGCCGTCTCCTTGCTGGGGACGGTGGATAAAACCACCGACAAGGTGGGGAAGGAGGTGAGCTTCGTGGCGACTGCGGTCGCGAAGGTGGAGAAGGCGGTGGGGAAGTTGGCCGGGGCTGTTGCGGTGGCTCCCCGCAATGGCGGGAAGAGGAAGAGGGGGGAGGAGGAGGAGGGGAATGGGGAGAACCCGATTGGGTGAACAGGCCCTGTGCCGGAGGGAACTCGGGCGTGGTCTTTCGCGTGGGGTCACTTCGACCCTTCGTCTCTCATGGTGGTAGCCGCTTGTTGCGACGCCGGTGAGACGTTTGGGAAGGGTGGCTTCCGCAAGGGCTACGGCTCTGAGGGTGCCCTGGCTTAGAGGGTGTTTAGTTTAGTGTCGTAGGTAGCAACGACGCTGTTTTCCTCTGCTTTGCCGTGCCTCTCGTGATCGTAGCTTGGTTTGCCTGTCTCCCATTCCGTGATCCAGCCGGGTAGGTCCTGCGGTGGTCCTGGCAGGTTTGGGTACTCCGCGTGGAACTCCCGGATTTTGTAGGGGGAGTTCTTAAAGTTTGAGGCGGGGTACCATTCCGGGTCCGGATCGTATCCGACCCAGGATACCTGGTATTGAAGTTGTTTTCGCCGGATCCTTACGGCGAGGATCTTTTCGACCTCCCACTCCTCTAGGCCGTCTACGACTTCGCTGCTTGGCTCAGGCGCTGCTTGACCGGGCAGCGGGTTATTCGGAGCCTTGATGAGTACGTCTGGAGAGAAGACATCGTGTATTTGGGAACCCTTCGGTAGGTCTAGTTGGAAGGCGTGTCCGATTTGTTCCAGTACCGTATAGGGTCCGACCCATTGTTGCCCCAGCTTACGGCTAGGGCGGTGATTTTTCAGATTCTTGGTCGATAGGTAAACCTTGTCTCCTACGTCCCAGTCAATGGCTCGTCGGCGTCGATTCGCGTATTTAGACATATCCTCTTGTGCTTTGGCCATGTTCTCCTTTGCGTAAATCCATGCGGAGTGCATGCGGTTTGCTACTGCTTTGGCTTCCTTCTGGTTCATGACTTCCCTAGGGGTCGTGGCTTTCGGGGTTTCCCAGTCCCAACTGGTGCGCGGATCAGTTCCGTACTTGAGTCGGTAGGGGGTCATTCCGATCGAGGCATGGGGAAGGGTCATTTGCACCCGATCCATGATGGGAATGAGCTCGCTCCAGTTATCCTGGTAATGTGATACGAAGGGCCTCAGTCTCTGATCGATATACCGATTCATGATTTCCGTCTGCCCGTCGGTCTGCTTGTGATAGGCTGTCGACAGCTTGATCTTGACGCCGATGATCCGGCAGAACTCGTGCCAGAAGGATGACACGAATTGGGGTCCGCGGTCACTGACGATCGATACCGGGGTGTGCCCGAATCGATATATCCATTCGATGAACAGCTGCGCCATTTGTCGTGCATCTGTAGTCTTATAACACGGTATGGTCACCGAACTCTTCCCGAGGCAGTCCATAAACACTAGGATGCTGTCGTACCCGTGCTTGTCCCTTGGGAACTCCTTGAAGTCCATCGTAAGGTGTTGCATAGGGTAGTCGGGTACCGGTAGGGGGTGTAGAAAGCCCTGTTGCTTTGTGACATTGGTGTGCGAAAGGCGGCATGTCGCGCAGTTACGCACATACCGTATGCAGTCCGCTTCCATACCGACCCAGCGATACTTCTGGGCAAGCAACTGGTAGGTCTTCCGGCCGCTGGGGTGCGCCGTCGACACCTGGTCATGCGCCTCTCGGATGAGTTTCGTACACAGCTCGGTGTGGCGGTTCACACATAGGCGGTCTTTGTACAGGAGGAGTTGGTCGGCTAGGGCGTACCCATCCGGTAAGGGTTGTTTCGCGCGTGTCTCGGCGAACGACTTCCGGTTGTCTACGCATAGTGCCTCGATCAGATCGAAGGGCATCTGCGCCTTTGGGGGGTCGATGGCATTGATCGATGCTACATAACTGTCGGCCAACTCGGCACTGATACGGGGGTGTAGGCGGGCAGGGCCAAGCAACACCCTCGCACGACTATCCAACTTGACTTTCTGTTGCATTACGAGGTCTTGGTCTCTTCGGCTCAGAATATCAGCCTTCAGGTTATTCTTACCTGCCGTATACGTAATGTGGAAGTTGAAGTCGGATAGTAGTTCCATCCATCGCACCTGCTTCGCGGTGAGAACCTTCGTCGTCATGAAGTATTCGAGCGAGCGGTGGTCCGTATACACCTCGACTCGCTGCGTAACAGAGGCCAACTCAGGTCTCCATTTCGCGAACGCTTTCACGATGGCGAAGAGTTCCTTGTCATGGATTTCCCAGTTGATCTCATGGCCGGTAAGGACGTGGCTGTAGAAGCTCACTGGGTACCAGAGCTGGTCCGGGTGCTCTTGTGATAGCACGCCGGCGACGACTCCGTCTGAAGAGTCGGTCTCTAGCTTCGTAGGCAATTCGGGGTTGAAGTGGTGTAGTGCCTGCACCGCTAGTAGCTGCTGCCGTAATTCTTCAAAGGCGTTCTCACATTCCTCAGTCCATAGGAACGGCTCCGAGGGGCTCGTGATGGTAGTCAGGGGCTTCGCGATCTTCCCGAAATTGCGTATGAACTGGCGGTAGAACCCACAGAAGCCTAGATAGGATTTCACACTGGTAACGGTGGTCG